GCAGCAGCAACCCAAGTCTATCCTCCGCAAGTCAGCCAGGCCATCGACAAGGCCACGCCGCAACTCGGACACGTCCGTCACATCTTCCAACATCCCCGGAGTGGGCGCCGGCAGTGACTCGGAGCTGGGGGTCAGACCCTCGCCCAGAGCCCACCACATCTCAGCTGCCTCCACGCCAACAGCATCGCCGACAGCGTCGCCCATGCTCTCACCCTCTCTGCCGTCAGCCTCTACCAGCGTCCTGCCTCGCAAGGTCCTGAAGGCCAAGTTCCCAGGGGTGCCTGCTGAACGACAAGGGACTGTGAACCTTCGGCCCTCCCGAGCCTCTTCTTCCACCTCCAACCTCCCACCCAGCTATCATGGGCCACCACCATCCGTGGCACGCAATGTGCTTTCCCCCCAGTTCATGCCTGATAATAACAGACAACTGGTTCACTCGGGTCATCACGAAGCCCGCCAGGAGCACTACGACCGCCCCGATCGGCGCGATTACCGCTCTGATCCGGACCCCGAAACCGAATCTGTTTCCTCCACCTCGGAGCTCTCGTCCACAACAGAAGCCACTACCGTCATCTCGGAATCCTCCGAGTCCTGCGAGAGTGATGTGACCACTACGGAGGCCAACACCCTTGCCAACACGGGCACCAGAACGCCCTCCGTTCGCTTCACACCCAGTGTTATCGGCTCTTCATCCAGTGTCGTTAGTTCTGTTGCGCCATCCAAGAATGCCCCCCCTCCTCCCAGCCGCAAGGTCGTCAGACACCGGGTTAGCGGGCCTCAACCAAGGCTCACATCTTCTGCCGACCGAAGTCTCACCGGCGGAGGTCGTATCAAGCTGCTCCCTTCCAGCGCACCCCCCGTCGACACCAGATACCAATGGGACCTGGAGCAACGCCAGCAGGACCTTGAGCGGAACATGATGCACAGGATCGAGCAACTGGAAGCCGAGACACGCGCCCTTCGTGAGAGCGAGGCCAAACTCAAGATGGACCTCGAAGACAGCGCCGCCCAGATATCCGCCACCATGCGGGAAAAGTCTATGGCTGAGGGTGAGCGCGATCTGGCTCGCAACGAGAGGGCTGCGCTTGAGAGGGAGCGTGAGCGTGAGCGTGAGCAGGAGCGCAGGAGCAGGGAGGAGCTTCTCTCCAAGCTTGACGCGCAAAAGGCGATCATCGACGAGTTCCGCAGCAACTCAGACCTCACCAAGGGCATCCTGGACGAAGTCGAAAAGGAACGCGACGTTGAACGCACCGACAAGGTTGAACTCTACGGCAAGCTCGAGGCCACCAAGCAAGTTATGGACGAGTTCAGGAACACGATGGACCTGCAAAGGGTCATGATCATGGAGGCTGAGCAGAGCCGTGATGACATCAGGGAGATCAAGGACAAGCTCGAAGTCAGGGTGCAGGATCTTGAGAGGGAGCTCGAGAAGCTCCACATCGACCGCAAGGAGCATGAGGATCTCTTGTCTCAACAGATCGTTGCTCTGGATGTTCGCAACAGTGCCCTCCTTGAGCAGCGTGACAACAGAGACAAGGAGATCGCGGAGCTGACGGCCATGCGGGATGCTATGAAAGAGGAGATTGAAGCGCTCAAGGTTTGGGTGTCGGACTTGACTGCAGAGAAATTGGCCGCCGAGGAGGAACAGCAAAACATCAAGATTAAGGCTAGCGGGGAGCTGCAGGAGGTCAGAAGGGCAGCCGAGGAGGAGCAGCAGAGAATTACAGAGGCTGCAGAGGAGGAGCAGCAAAGGATCACCAAGGCGGCCGAGGAGGAGCAACAGAGAATTGCACAGGCTGCAGAGGAGGAGAGACGGAGGATCACACAGGCAGCCGAGGAGGCGGAGCAGGCTCTGAGAACGACATTTGCGGCCGACAGGGAGGCTCTTCAAAAGGAGATTGACGAGGGTCAGCAGCCGCTGCGGGCTCGCATCGAGGAACTGGAAAAGGAGAGGGATGCGTTGGAAGCTGCCAAGGCTGCTTTGGAGCAAGAAAGGAGCGACCTGCAGTCGGCACTCAATACCGCCAACGAAGAAATTGCCGCTCTCAAAGCCCAAGTGAAGGAGCTGACATTGTCCGGTTCCGAACAGGCCACCAAGATTTCTGCTCTGGAGGAGGAGCTTGCATCAACCCAGACAGAGGTCAGCAGCCTCAAGGCCCGGATCGATGGTCTCGAGTCGGACAAGCTCGGCCTTAAGCAGAAGCTCTTGGATCTCCAGGTCGACCTTGGCGGCAAGCAAATTCAGATCGAGGCGCTCACAACCGACCTTGCCGGCTCTAAAGAGGCCAACATCTCTCTTGCCAGCCAGAAGATTGAGGTGGCCAACCACCTTAACACGGTGCAGGAGTATCTTGTCGCTGCCAGTGCCGAGATTGCACAGCTCAAGACGGAGAAGGACACGATCCAAGCCGAGGCGGACAAGGTTGCTGGCCTGATGAGTTCCAAGGCGGCACTCGAGGACAAGGTTGTGGATCTCGAGGGCAAGATCTCGACACTGGAGAGCAGGATTGCCGTGCTCCAGGCCGAAGCGGACAAGATCCCCGGCCTCACGGGCGAGAAGGAGGAGGCGTTGTGTCAAATCTCGCACCTCGAAGGAAGGAGCGTCGATCTCCAAGTACGAATCGGTGAACTCCAAGCTGAGCTCTATGCCAAAACCACTGAACTGGAAGGTAAGCTGGCGCAGGTCCAATCTGAGGCGGACAAGGTCCCTACCATCGAGGCAGCCAAAATTGTTCTCGGAGGCAAGGTTTTAGAGCTTCAAGCCAAGGTTGTCGAGCTGCAGACCGAGCTTGCCAAGGATCCAGATGCAGTGGCGGCGGCACTCAGAGTCGAGCTGGAGATCAAGAGTCAGGAGATCACGCGCCGGGTGGGTGAGATCACGGCACTGACAGAGAGCAACTCGGCGCTGTCGGCCGAGCTTGGGGCCACCAAGCAGCAGCTCGAGACGTTGCACAGCTCCTACAACAGCATCACCGAGTCCTACAACCAGGCAACCGAGCAGATCATCGAACTCCAGCACAAGGTTGAGAAGCTGACCCCCTCTTCGCGCCGGTCCAGCCGGTCCCGCAACGCCTCCCCGCAGAAGAAGGACAAGGAGAAGGACAGGGAAAAGGACAAGGAGTCCAGCAGCAGCAAGAAGGATAAGCAACGAGAACTTGTGGTGGTGCGCAACCCTGGCGACCGAGGAGGAGCACTGTCAGTCATGCTTCAAATCGCTGCCGCAATCTGAAGTTAACACAGGGCCCTCACTAACATGGGTTTACGTCTGCAGGCATCTCGTCAGAAAAAGCGAAATAAAACGCAATTCTCGATCTTCAAGCGTTAACTCGACTCCCACTCCGAGCCCCCGCCATTCCGACGCTTCATTTGCCTCCTCGTCCAAATGCTGAGCTCAGCACGACACATGCCACGAGACCTCTCTACGCGCTCAACACTAACACACCACCATCATCATCACCACCACCACCACCACCATCATCATCATCATCCACCGAACTGAAACAATGAATATACCGCTGAGCAGTCGGATACGAGTCCGATACAGAAGGAGGGACATGTTCTTTGGCGACCAACATCGGGCGGAAGTTTACTTCTTTGTGTTTCTATCTCCGTGTTTTATTCTTTTCTTTTGCTTCACCATGTACTATCTCTTTCGCCGGAGAACCTCTGCCCTCTTGATCGACCATCTATTCGGCCATCAGCTTCATTGACTTTCGGACTCGGCCCGGTTCAACAAAAGTCTTTTTGGGTCGACTGTCGTCTTTATTTGTTTTTGTTTCTTTCTTCTTTTATCGGTTGGTTGTCTTGGAAAGGCGGGGTCGGGTTAACAGTCACAAGGGGGAGGTATCATTTGAATGGGGTTTGGCTGCTTTGCTTTCATGTTTTGTTTTGGCTTTTGCTTTTTGGTTTAGAATTTCTTGTATTGAGTGCACAGCTCACTGTTTTATTGTTTTTGGTCACGACTTTTGTTACAGAGTTACGAGTCATGGCGTGATGCAATACTTGATGGGCATTTCAGATGGAAAGGAAAAATAGTAATCATATGCGCAGAGATGGGTGTGAGATTTGGGCATAATCTCTCGTTTATGGGAGGGAAGGGGGAGGAACCGAGGTGGCTGTGGCTGTTGATCCTGTAGCTGGCGAGAATTAATACACTGTTGGAATATTTGTCCAGACTTGACCACGACTCTTCCATTCTCCAAATGGCCCTGAAACATGTCGATTCAAGTGAACATGATTATTCTCGGATCTTGGACTCCGAAGCAGTTTCCAATCACAGAATACCCGGATGCCCAGGATAGGTGTCAAAACACCCGCGAGAAATACGCACCAATAAGATGGGTTGTATTATTCAGGGCTGTGGAATATTAATATGGATGCTGATAGTGTGTCATTCCTCATGGCTCTGTAAATGCCCATCTCGACCGTTTTCGAGATGCAAAAGCTTGCCGAGGGCGACGTCATGTAGCCAGAATGAGATAGATACGGTGCTCCAAAGTCACATTTTTGGAGCGCATGACGCGGGCGAGCAAGTTGTTTACTTATCCTTGGACTCAGATCTGAACGAAGATCACGCAGGGTGATTTATGATATTTAGCTGCCGATATTGTGTCTGTTTTTTTGGTGCGTTTCGAGACGTCATTAAAGGTTTTCCTTTTCTTTTCTTGACCTCGGAAGTTTACATACCTACCTACCTAGAGAAAACACTTGTATCATGAAGACCTCACTTTTTGCTGCAGCGATTACAGCTCTCGGTATGCCCTCTCCCCCATTTGTCGCGTTGATCAAGTCAGCGCTGACCGGTCCACAGCGGCACCGGTCGTGTTCGCCCAAGAGCGCGATCCTACCAGTGAAATCTACACCGACCCCTCCTCCAACATTACGTTCAATACATGGTCGCCGACGCCTTTTGTGACGATTGGTGTGGCGTTACCCCCAGACGCATTGGAGGCTGATGCAGATGAGTTTGTTGGGCTGATCGTGAGTCTTTGCCACCTCCCATGCCCTACAAATGTCAACTAACATTGGCATTCGTCAAGACCTGCTCCGATCCCGCCGGATGGTGCGGCGTTTCTCTCGGAGGCGGCATGGTGTCCAACCTCCTTGTGTTGGCCTACCCCTCCCCTTCTAACCCGGACGAGATCTTGACCTCGCTCCGTTGGGCGTCCGACTATGGTCCCCCCATCGAGCCATACAACGGTGACGCCAAGCTCGCTCAAATATCGTCCACCTTGAACGCAACGCACTACCAGGTTTCGTTCCGTTGTGAAAAGTGTTTGGGAGAGTGGCGCCACGGAGAGGAGCAGCAAGGCGGCTCGTTTCCCAGCAGTGGTGGGTTCCTGCTGTTTGGGTGGTGTCATGCCTCGAGCGCGCCGTTCGGGGAGGCCGAGTGCGCAGACAAGGCCGAGATGAGCCAGCATGACAGCCAGGGTCTCTTCGGTGCTACTGTGACCAGCTTTACACTAGCTTCATCCGCGGAGGAATATGCTTTGTGGGCCGGGAAGGCGACTGGAGGGGCTGTGGACGGTGAGTGTGTGGTGTGATGTATCGAAGGGTGGACTTAGCGAAGTCTAGAAATGTCTAAAATATAAAGAAGTAATCATTCCTCAACTATGGAACTGGCTGTTCGATCTCTTTGATTACTGTACCCAACCCCTTGTGCGGTTCATGTCAAGTTTCTTGCGTTGTCGTGGCCTGCAAGACCGTTACAAGGACTTGGCAATGTTTGGGAGGCGATGTCAAAATTGCGGCCAGGAACCCCGAGTACTGTGGTGGTCAGCATTTAGGTCAAGATTCTGATGATGTAAGTGAAGATGACAGAGATGGTAATGGCGTGAACGAAGAGTTCCTGGCTAAGGCGCTAGTACTTGACCAGGAGGGGATGACCATGCACAGTGGTTCTAATTCTGGTCGGATATCGAATCCACACCTACCTACCTACCTACCTACCTACCTACCTACCTACCTGGGGACAAACCATGACATATCAGAATCTCGTGTCACCCTGTAGAGTACCGTTCATCCCTTCCACAACAGGGTGCGTAACGAGTCAGCCAATTAGGATGATGCCTTCGGATTTCATGATGAGTCAAAATGAGCGGGTTGTATTAGAGTGTATTGAAGCTCCGAAAGTGACCGGCAATAGCTCGTCAACATTTGTCATATAGCTTTTCAGCATCCGTGGAATCTCGGCAGCAACGAAAATACCGAGTCATCTCGGATCGTCTCGAGGATGCCCGTCAGAATTCAATCTAGATAAATGTTGCAAACCCATCATTGTTGGCGTTGAAAGCATCAACGGCATTCACTGTATCGTATGTATTCGGAAAACATGCTGACCCGGCTCCTGACCATCGGCCATATGGCCCTGATCATCTTCCATCTCCAACTTTCTGCCTGCCATCCGTTGACTTCTGGCCCGCGTTATGAGGCAAGAGGAGTCACCACCAGCCATCGCTATCCAACCCGCGAACTTGCGGGCATCACAGTGATTGACACCCCCCTCGTGCGCTCAGCCCAAGCCTTTGCTCTCGCACACAGCAGCTCAACAACCTACAACCACGTAATGCGCTCGTGGCTGTTCGGCGCCCTCATGGTTAAGAACAACGCAACTCTACAACGAACGATTGACCTCGAGATCCAAGCCGTGTCAGCCTTGTTGCATGATCTTGGCTGGTATGTTGTTTTCATCTCTATTTCTTATGTTCTTCTCATGCGCAGGGCTCTGATGTCTCAAGCAGGGACCAAACCCCATCGTCCCCTATCATATCCCCCGACAGACGCTTCGAAGTAGATGGCGCCATTGCCGCCCGTGCCTTTCTCCATGACCACCCTCACGGCAAGAAGTGGAATGAACGCCGCGTGCAACTCGTCTGGGACGCCATCGCTCTGCACACCGAACGAGCCTTGAACTACTTCAAAGAGCCCGCCGTCCGCCTAGTCAGCCAGGGTATAAGCCTTGATTTTGAGACGGCAGAGATAGCGAAAGCCACGTTCGGGATACCTATTTCGGAGTACCGGGCTGTTGTGGCCGAGTTTCCAAAAGAAGGGTTCAAGCAGGCGTTGAACGAGACGTTTGTGTGGCTTTGCCGGGAGAAGCCGGGGAGCACTTATAGTGAGTTTTGCCTTCACCCAGCTTCGCCAGATAAAAAGTGAATGTATTGTGTGCTGACAAGAACTAAAACAGACACCTGGATGCAGCCTTGGGGAGACCGATATGTGGATGGGTATAACTCGAGCGCGAATTTGAGGATCGATATTATTGACAGGAATCTTCCTTGAGCAGTGCACTGGGTTTTGTCGGGACAATGGTCGCAAAGCATATGCTGGAAAAGGGTAGTTAAGGGGGGGTCCACTTTTACCCCTTTTTTGCCATTGTGGTGATGGTCTGAGTAGAATAAACTTTGTTTACCACTGGACCGGAATATACTCCGAGATGGTTGACCTGAGATGTCTCACATAAGCATCGCAGGTTGGAGCCCAGTGACCTCTTTGCCGGTGGCTGGGTTATCACTGAAGTTCTGAATATACATTTTGAACAAATGGACATGTGTCGAGGCAAGTTAATGTATAATCTGGCGTGTCAGTTTAGACCTTGTGTGGGTTGGCTGAGCGACGTCACAAGCCCGACTGTTTCGCGTGGCGATGCTGCAAACAGCACATCTTGCCGAGAAGAGGGCTTTTGTGGAGATAAGTTCCCAACTTGTGGTGACTCCTTCCTGTGCCTCGTTGTCACTGATGACGGGATGGTCCGGATCCCATAGCTCCGCCTCCTTCGAGCCGCTGAGGTCACCTACGTTAACAGCTCTTGCTATGACTGTCGAGGAGAGATGCTAGTGGATTGCAAAATGTGGACAAGAGAAAGGACGAGCATGAGAGCCAGAATGAGCGGTAACGGCGAGTAAGAAGCACGTATAAGTGGATAACAAATTGCTGTTTTGGTGACCGAGACAAGGTGCCCGTGCCTGCCTTTGCCTGACGGATTCGAGAAGCTCTTTCTGTTGAGCTGTAGCTATAACAGCGCGATGTGCAAAAGAGTTGTTGGGCACACTCTGTGCTGATCAATGCCAGAAGGGAGCAAATATCTTGGCTAGTCCAACTGTAGGTAAGGTACCAGGTTAAAGACGGCATCGAGTGGCTACGGAAATGTGGCTTCTCCTCCGACCACGGCCCGCCACAGGAGATGACAAGGAGGTACCTGCAGCGACATGCTGCATCGTGCATCATTGAGAAACATGGCCAGGTGCTGTTAGTTGTCGAGGCCGCCATTGGGGCCATTGGGGCCGTTGCGCTAACCTGGGTTGACAGCGCACCAATAGAAAGCATTCGGGGTTTTCACCGCACTTGCAAAGCCGCACACAATTGTCCGAATAATCAAACAAACGGTGAAGCTCCCTGCTTCGAGGAAGGCGGGGCTCCCAGGCTGACTGGTCAGACATGGAAGTTGAAGGCCATACCGAGTAATTATATCAGACGAAGAACAGCTCAGTCAGCAAGACACATGGCTCGCGGCTGGCATTCCATCAATGTCTCGATTGATCGGCCTGCCCGAGAACCTTGCGGGCTTGCAATGGCCACGGACTCGAACCCGCTCGGGCGGTTCGGCGGGATCTGACCTGTCCCGTGAAACAGTGCCGTGTTGTTTGCTTCTGTGGCCTGCCGCCCTTCGTCTTGCTGCTCCAGGTGAAAAAAGCGATTATCCGTAATTCGGCGGTGACGTGTTGATCCAACCCCCCCCCTGAGCCCCTTACTCACTGGCATGGTATTTTCATGCCATCTTATCGTCCCGGACTCGCAACATCTTGCATTCTGCCAACGCACCTTTCTTCTATCTGGGCTTCACCGCAGATTGCCACACCTGTCCAGATCTCCAGCCATCAGGAAGGGGGCTTGGCACATGCTGCCCAAATATAGACTCACTTCGACCAGTAGGCAACGGGCCAGGGGTGAGTATCGCCGGGACAGATAACTCATGTCATGATTACGTTGAGGGCCGGTTGCGATCTGCCAGCTGGACCAGCACACTGGTATAAGAAGGCCCTGCTCGGCCTCCACGAGCTGTCGTTTCTGGCCACCACTTCATCAAAGTTCTACAACACTGTCTGGCGTCACCGTCAAGCACATCTGAGTTCCAAGGTTACCTCGTCTCACTTCATCACAGGCATTCACACCAAAGTACATACCTACCGCACCCTCGGATTAGTTACCATGACGTCCCCCCAGGATCCACACACCAAGCTCTACTCGCACATCAACGGTCAGACCTCAGATCTTCTCGACCGTTACGCCGTCTCGGAGCTTTGCAAAGGCTGGCCGGTTTATCGTGACGCCTCAGAATGGCAAAACTACCGCGATCTCTTCACAGCGGAGGGCGCCTACGTCTGGACCAGTATGCCTTTTTCGTCCCCCCACTGTGTCCCCTGTGTACTGACAGCAATGACATAGCTTGGTCTGGCCCACGCACGGTAGATGAGTTCATCTCCATCTCCAAAGCCGGCAAGGAGAAGGACGTCTTTATCATGCATCGCGAGTGTGGTACCCTCGTCGAGCTTGGCAAAGACAAGACTCGGGCAATAGGCAAGATGAAGGCCACCATCACCCACCGCTTCAAGTTTTCCCCTCAACACAGTAACGGAACTCACGCTGCTTTCAACGGCTCCAACGGTACTACCGGCACTCATCCGCATGACGCTGCAAAAGCCGAGGGCGAGTACGAGTTTGACGTTGACTGCGACTGCCGCTTCATTTTTTTCGTCGAGAAGAACGCGTCGACCAACAACGAGTGGAAGACGCGGTATGTGAAGCTCTTTTATGAGAAGGACAAGGTTGTAACGGTAGACGGGTTCACGGCGCCGAGGTTCAGCAAGGCAGAGCTTGAGAGGATACCAAAGGGGTATAAATACTTGGGAGCTGCGCAGGCGAGGCTGGGATACGAAATCGACTTGGACTTGCCCACTGCGTCAGGGGAACTTTGGGACCGCATGTATGGCGAGATGGAGAAGTGGCTGGATGGGGGAAAGGTCGACTTGTTTTGGGAAGGGAAACAATAAGCAATGATTGGAAAGGGTCGCTCGGAGGATATTGGCTGGTGATACGCATTATACCCGTTTGGATCGGGGGATGTCTTCCATTTCTGTTCTTGTTCATGGCGCATCTTTTTGGTCAGATCCGGCTCAGCATTAGGTAGTTGACGCCAATGGTAGGTGACAAGATGTGCAGTAATAGACTTTCTCATGGCCGCATGGTAGCTGGCGAACCTCTGTTGACCCCTGAACCAAGCCGCTACACACCATCGAGGGCGCACACGACATGGATGACAAGTGACGGCTGCCACCTACCCGGAGGCAACACGATTCCTGGCAGCAAAGTGCTGTCAATGAAGGCGGGTGCAAACAGGCTCACAACCCGTCCAAATGGCGCCATGTTATGATTCCCAGCTCTTGGTGACACAGACAGAGCGGCTTCCCTCTCCGTGACATGGCCTGCCTACTCAGGAGAGCCGGCCGATTTCGGAGTTTTGGCAGGTCGTTGAAGGCCAGCCAGGGAGCACACCGCCGCTGCCTGCCGGAGCGTGCATGCGGATCTACCGGTGTTTCGGAGGGCAAAGACAGCATCGAGGTCATGTGAGACTTGTTCTGGGACGTTGTAGGTATTTGTGTGTGTCGACTACTACAGGGGGAATCTCTACAGTCCACCACCATCTCCAGGCCATTACTCGGCAGCGGCGGCGGCGGCAGCCTTCTCCTTGGCGAGCTTCCCCATCTTCTCAACAGCCAGATTCAAGCTCGGCAGGTTGGCGCCCTGGATCATTGCTTGGCCGTTGACGGCAACCTGGTTGCCCTCCTTGAAGAAGAGGAAGGTGGGCATGGCGGCGACGCTGTATTTCTGGGCGACAGACTGTACGTGATCGACGTTGACTTTGGCAAAGGCAAGAAAGCCGGGGATCGAGAAGGTAGAAGCCATCTTGGAAAAGTGGGGATTGATGAGCTTGCACGGGCCGCACCAGTCGGCGTGGAAGTCGGCGATGACATACTTGTTCGACGCGAGGAGGTTGTCGAACTCTTGGTGCGAGCTAATGTGCTTGACTTGATCGGCCATTTCGAAATTGGTAATGGTCTTTGGGAGAGAGTCGTGTACGAATGGAAAAGCGACGGAAGGGAGGAGATTGGATCAACGGTTTTGGATGCGCGCACTCGAAGTTCGAAGACGGAGGAGATTCGCAATCGCGGGGGATAAAGAGCACAGCCCAGAGAGCTCCATCTGGAGCTTCAGAAGCGGTGGGGCCATACTGGAAGTCAACTTCGTGCTGACTAATCATTCATAACCCTAACCCCCTGGGAAAGCGATGATGTCATCCGCTCTGATTCTTGTGTTCTGTCTACGTTCTTTTATGGGCGTGCCTGGCCACTCTGAAGAAGCAAATATTCTTCACCCTTACGAAGATACTCAGCGATATGTTGCAAGATAAAGGAAGCCGTTCTCTGTCAGACATGGAGGAGCACAGTCAGTCCAAACAACTTGTCCAGCACCCAGCACCACAACAAGAGGAAGAAGTCGATAGGCAGCCGCCAAACTCGAGAGGTGCTCCGGCAGTCAGACTTGAGATGGACCTTGATGTGGATATTGAGCTCAAGGGAAAGATCAAGGGGGATGTGACGGTGGCTATCTTGTAGGTTCGACATGTGATACCGTTTATTGATCTCGAACAAATGATTGACGCGATAGCGCAGAGAAGATGAGAAGACACAGGATTAGCAAGGATCAGTTGGCATCTTAGAGGTGCGGTTGCCTGATGACTCTGTTGAAGGTTGGCTCGGTCACGAGGTCACGCGAGGTGGTTGACTGACAGCGCCAAAATCACACGCAACCCACATCAAACGCCATGACCCCAAAGCTACGAACAGCTGCGAGAGTCAAGTGAACCATGCGCGAAAACGGGTTTCCTCGTCACTCGAGATTTCTTGAATACAAAGCCAGTGACTTGAGCAACGTCAATCATGGCCCGAATCCCGCTCCAACCATCCCAGCACAATGTCATCACAACGCAGTAGACGTGCGCCGAAAGCAACACCCAAACGTACAAATGACGGCCTCAAGCCAGGGGAAATACTTTCTCAAGTCGGCCGGGTCGCCCTCCCGTTCATTCTCACCAAGCTTGCGCAACAACAAGAAGAGAAACAACGCCAACAAGAGAGGGAAAGCAACAAAGCCCCAACCTCCTCAAGATCCCGTACTGCAAGCCGCAATGGCAGCACAACATCCACGGGTGAACGGTCCAGATCATCCCACAACCGAGACAGAGACAAACACCGAGACAACAACGGCTCTGCCGACGCATCCTTCCGCAATGACAGCGATTTCCACGGCGTCATCAGCCAAGTCGCCGTCGGTTTAGTTGCCTTTGGAGCCAAAAAGCTTATACAGAGAAGAAAGGAGGCCAAGCAGGCTGCTGCTTCCGCCGCACAAACTGCTCAAGCGAATGGACGCAATGCCCGAGGCAACAAGAGCCCAGCCGAGGCGGATGTTGAACTTTCAAGGGCATTGGAGACTACAGCGATTGAGCTGCAGGGGGCTAGCGAGTCACTACGCAGGCTGGCAAACTCGGGTCCAAAAAACCACCACAGGAAATGCGCGGTGAGAGACGAGCTGGTACGAGATGCTCAGAGGCTGGAAGGTTCACTTGCCAGCATACAAACGGGCATTCACAATATGCGCAACCTGCACCCAAGGTTGCGCAGACCAGATGAGGGTAAGAAAGAGCCTCTCCAAAGGGGGACGAGAGGCTTGGGACCCATACGAGATGGGAAGGTTGGACATCGGGAACGGCTGAAGGAGAGGTAACTGAGGCTCGTTGGGAACGAGTCTTTCCGAAGGGAAGAGAAGACTGTTCTTTCGGCAGAAATCGACGCCAGCCATGAGCACATCGGATAGAGCTCTGGTGCTTTACTAGCCCAGGCATCCCGGCGTTCCCGACCAAACCCACATGCCGATACAGGCAGATAATCTCCACAATCCGGAGCCCCCGAACCCACTCCAGGCTACAACCCTGACCACTGTCACTCCACTGCAACCCACAGCCATCTACATGACAGCTAAATCCTCACCTCGAACTTCAACAATTTAAGAGGAGAGCCCGCATGGCTCAGTGGTAGAGCGTGTCACTAGTAATGACAAGGTCGTCAGTTCAATTCTGGCTGTGGGCATCCTGTTCTCACTCCTCTCCTCTCTTCACCTCTCTCGCCCGCATGGCTCAGTGGTAGAGCGTGTCACTAGTAATGACAAGGCCGTCAGTTCAATTCTGGCTGTGGGCAGGCATGCACCTGGGGTCAGGAGACAGATGGGACAGTTCCTTTGCTCTTTTTGTACTCTTTGCAGATATCATGTTCAGGACACATCGATAGACAAATAGCGTTTCTTTTTTACTGAGATACCCCAATACCCATTACACCCTGATTATACAAATATTGCTTTCCATTACGGTCTCCCCCTTATATGTTGTTATGCAGGCGGTGGCGGCGGCGGCGGAGGTGGCGGCGGAGGAGTTTCCCCTGACGACGCCGAAAACGACATGTGGCTCCCTTTGCTTCCGTAGCGGCTTCCTCTCCTTCGACTCCGGCTCCTCCTCCTTACCCGTATCGATCTGCCGTACCGATGGCAAAAGTAAAAGCAGCCCACCAAGAAGGCTGTTACGAGAACACCCACGACAACACCGATGGTGATGTTCTGTTCTTGCATCGAGTATCGTTTTGTTAACTGGCTCGTCCATAGTGAGGACGATATCGGTTTATCGGCCCGCAGAACCGAGGCTTTTAATGAGAGGTGCAACCATGAGGGGAACAACGCTGGTGCGGGGGAGGATGGTTGTGAGGGAAGCGGCACAAGCGTGCGAGCAGAGGCGAGAGGGGGTATAAACATGACGACGAGTTTTGCTCAGACTGGATAGGTCACGAGGTTGGTAGACCTTGATTTTTTGCTAGCCCTGACTGGTTTTCAAATAAGATGCTCTGAAAATCCGGGCATGTGATTGTGGTATAGGTACAGAGGTCGAATCGCTTTCGAGATTCAGATTCAATGGAAAGTTGCTCAGACTGGGTACAGAAAACAGAGGTTCCAAATGGGGCTTTTTTGGAGACTGGCGCTAGGAAGAAAAACGGCTGTTGAGAGAAAGAAAGGTGCAAGCCGTATGCAGGACGAGAAGAGAAACCTTTTTATCCCTCTCCTGTCGCTAGTGTAAAAGGTACGGGTGAGATAACAGCCATCGCGGGTGCTGATGTAAAATGTCGACTGACCAATATTGCTCATTTTCTTGGTAGCACGGAGGCATGGGGGCAGCAGAAGCAGGGCTGCAGATGGGTGCCAGTGGTGTTGCCTGCGTGGTGGGATTGGGGGCTTGAGGGTTGATGCTGGAGGAGCAAAGTTGGAGACGAAGCGACCCAGTTCACAGATGGACATCTGCAGCTAGTTTAGCCAGTACTGGTACAACCTATCAGGCATCAACTGGGACGACTGACTGCATGATTGTGCATATCACAACCCAATGATATCAGGACGGGTTCAACTTGCGGGGCTGACACGGCCTATTACCGACCACATTGCAGAATATGTATGCCCGGTCTGACGAATGGCCCACCAGTCAGACGAGCAAAAAGTTATGGAAGTGCGGTACAGAGCGATCACCAAGGTAGAAGACCAGGTAAGGCAGGGGTAGTAGAGGCACAGGAATCGGCATCATCTTCGTCTACTTGCCAGTTCAATGGCTTTAGATACCGTTCAGCAATCCAAAATTCAACTGCTATCTCTCAGACCGAGACGCTTTTGCAAGAGCAAGCCTTCCATACCACTTTCGCATTTCGATCCCGCCCATCACCCCGCTCTGGAGTGTAAGCCCTCCGTGGCTACCAGTTCAATGGTTATGGATCGTGTTCAACAACCCACAATTCAACTGCCATCTCTCAGATCTAACCTCGCTTGCAACTATCTGACTGTACAGGTGGCCTTTCCTCTTGCTCTTTTGGCGATGCCGGTCCTTGTGAAATGAAGCTTTTGATGGCGAGTGCCAGACTTCCACATGACTTTCGAGTTTCAATCCCACCCATCAGCCCGCCTTGCGAGTGCATGCCCGCCATGCCTGCCAATTCAATGACTTTGAATCTCGTTCAGACCCACACTCCAGCTGCTTTCTTTCAGATCCAGCCGCTTTGCAAGTCATGCTGAGACCGAGTGGTTTTAGCAATGTGAGCAAGTAGCTGGGTGGGCAACAGCGCTGCCCCCCATGGGGTTATATGCTCGAGTTCAGTCTCTTCCTTCCGTGCCCAGTAGGGGACACCAATCATGACCAAGTATCGTTTCGAGACCCCCCCATAATCTTAACATGGACGGCGACTTGGTGAAGTTTGGCGCCGCTGCTACTATGCAGCCAAAGATCCGGGCTGGAAATCCGGCATGTATGGCTGGCCAGTCCGGATGGTGCTAGGATAATGATTTAGGTCTTCACCGGCACCATGAATAACTGCACCATCCTGGCGCAGGGTGATATCAAGGGCGGCAGTACTACCAGACATGTTCACCAGCAGCACCATATAAACATGAGTCAACACAGATCCAGATCCCCTCCAGCTTAGAAAGCTGGACGACGTAAAAATAAATACAATGTGGGAAGTTAATGAATAGGTATTGGAAGATACTTAATAGGTGTTGAAAGATACCTTGGTCGAAAGTTAAAAGGTCATCTATAGGTGTTAAATGATGGTTGATAAGTGTGAAAAATAGTCTATAGGTATTTAAAATTTGCTAATATCTATTAAAAGATAGTCTATAGGTGCTAAAAATAATCTGTAGGTATTAATAAATAGTCTATAAGTATTGAAAGATAGCCTATAGGTGTTAATAGATAGTCTATATACACTTAAAAACTGCTAAAATGCGTTAAAGTCTCCTTATTAGGTTGTTTAAGTATAGTGAAGAGGTGTTAAAATAGTCGTCAACTGGTGTTCCAAGGTGTTCTAAGGCGGTGGGTAGGTAGGTATTAAAGTAAGAAATTTAGAGTCTTGGGGACTGCTACACTAAACCAGCCATGTATCTTATGCAAGAAATCACAGAAAGCTGCAGTTAAAATCTGTCCCGGTCAACCCATTCAAAGAGCGTTTATCACCTACCTGCAAGCGTTGGACGTCCCTGTTGTGATGAGCAGCTACATCCACTTCAATCAGGCGGGATGCGAGCATGGAAAGAGGGACCAGGACAGGAAGACAAGACCTCCCAACTCTCTGAGGAGTTTTCCCAGATAGGCCGTTGTTCTGAGTGATGTTGGATATGAACTCGGCTGCTCGCGCGGCTACCCATGCGGGTGTCAGTGCCGCCGCCGCTCGCCTGTTCGCAGCATTTTTAAAACCATTGTTGGATAAACGCTATTAAGAGAGCAGCTAGCAACTAAAAATAACCATCTTATGAATAAAAACTCTTCTTTTCTTAATATACAAAATCGCGGGTTTAGCTCAGTTGGGAGAGCGTCAGACTGAAGTCCACTTCAATCATTAATCTGAAGGTCATGTGTTCGATCCACATAAACCGCATCTGCTTTTGTTTTTGTGACCTCCTCTTTTTGTCACCAGGGAACTGAGTTGTCAGCAGATGTTTTGGCAGAGGTCATGCCTTGTCGACCTATGATTCACACTTTGTGTAAGCACAAGATCGCTATGATATTTAAGATATTCTTTCTGTAATGCATTATCTCTCTATATGTGCTATCAGCCCTGTCGTTTATAACATTAACTAGTATCTAAAACCCGGCCTTGTCTTCAAGAACATGTGCCCAAACGCCGCCCCAAATTCTCACACGACCACCTGCTGATCTTGTGTTGGGCTCGTGGGCATCTACGACTTCCCAAGCCCGGTCCTAACATGCTTTACAGGACAGGTGCAGGCGATTTTACAACCGGCAAAATAGTCACGACTGCCACGTCGTTGCTCTTTTCCGCAGCGGATGACAACCCAAAGAAGGTATATCTCTTCTTGGTTCCAGCGGACTGTGGGGTTACAGCTGGATTTGGTGGAATGGTCTGCTGATTGGAAGCCGCCACGGTTTTTTCTGAAAAGGTAAACATTCTCTTTCCCACCCTCGGAGCCGCTGTCATGGGCCCCTGCGGACCTCGGGCTTTTGGCACACTCGGAGACGAACTCTTCATGGCCTCTGACATGGAAAGCGTGGCTTGCCTGAACAACTGCGGCGAGGAGCGGATGGGTGTCGAGACCCTGTTGAAGAGGGGCCCAATCTTCTCCGACATGGTGACCACAATCGGCCTCTTTGGCGGCTTGGTGAGCTCAAAGTATGCTCGGCCAGAGTCAGTTTTGGTGAGAGAGCCAGTGAAGGAGCCCTTGCTCAGGGCGGCGCGGGCGAGTTTGGCCTTGGTCATCAGCATCATTTCACTCCCTTGGAGCGCCACCACACAGTTGTGCCAGGGGGTGGGCACATGGAGCAGGTCGATCGAAGTCATGAGTTCGCCGTCGGCCGAAAGGGAGGTGACGGCCCGTACCTTGGCGGGGTCCACAAGCTGGATGCCAAACTTGGGACCGGCATTGTTGTGTGCGTGGATGGATAGCCGGATATAGTTGGGAAACAGCATCTCGACGAGGTTGGAGTAGGCGTGGTTGCGTACAATCATCTCGAAGGCCACCTTGGCTGACAGCTTCTTTTGCTTGGACCGTGACATCCTTTGGGTCAGCGGGTGGTTTTCCAGATCCTCGAGCACGAACTTGGAAAAGCCGCGGTACAGACGGGTGATTGTGGCATCCTTGGAATCAATCTTTGCCCGAATAGCCTCTTTACGAGGCCCGGACCCCGCAACAAGCATCCGCCTACAGAGCTCGGCTTCCTCAGTAATCTTGGTGTCTAGGTGGTGTTCAATGGGGGGAAGGCTAAGCCGGGATGCTAGAGTGGAAAGGTCATCGTTCCGGGACGCCAGTTGGAAGAGCTCAACGAGAGACTTGAAGCCTATACGATCAGGATCCCCGAAATGAGAGCCAACCTCCCGGTTTATATCTTTGAGCAAGGCGGTATACCTGTCCACCTCGCTGTCATCGACACCAATGCAGTCGCTAAAGACGTGTCCGTCACTGATAACCCATAGTTTGGCGCCAGGCATGTAAATCTTTTCGATTTCGGTGACAAAACCGTGCAGCCTCTCCAAGGCAAGCTCTTCACCACGATCTGGATCTGGGCCAGTAACCTTGTCGGGATTGGATGACTTGCATGGAAATGCAGGAAGACACATCTCGAGTTTGGCCTTGCGTGATGTAAAGTGGCGCACCCGTTGTGTAAAGTACTTGCGGCCCGAGACCTTCCATTGGTCACCCTTGCCACCGTCGTACCTGAGATAACTGTCGAAGAGGTCCACTATCTGCTCGGTTATAGCTTCGATATCGGCATCCTCTCCTGCTGCTGAGACTGGCAGGGTATGGGTCGTGAGGTCGGCCTGGGTGAGGAGGAGGTCGACGAAAAATTTCTCAAACGCGTCCCCGTCCACAATACGTCCATGGTTTCCAATCATGATGGCTGTGGTGTAGCCCTGACCATCGGGGGACGATGATTGGTATATTTTGGCATCGGGCTTGCTGTGGCTCGACCGGATTGTTGACCAATTGTCCTGAACCCATTGCTTTTGAGAGCCGGTGCAGTGAACAAGGTTCCCCTCGGAGTCCCGGAGGTAGGAACCTTGATAGCGAAAATAGATGGATTGGCCTTCGTTTCCAAACTCCACGACCATTGCCATGTTGACGTTTGGTGCCTTTTGTGCAGGGACAGGGGAACTGGGAGGGTTAAGAGAGTTGAGAGGGTTCCGCAATGACTCCTCGGCTTGGTGGAAGATGTGGTAGCAAGAGATGTGGACAAGCACAACGTGACACACGGCGAGGATGCAGAAGCTAAGCAACTGAAAAGCACTTGGTAGGCAAGAGGTGTCTTGGGCGCAAAGTGCAGATGTCGTGTAGTAGGTGAAGACTGGGGGGGTGATGAGCAAACACGCCCTCACCAAGTAGGAGATCATGGCATCCTTTGTATATCACGTTCCTCTCCGAGAACCACGTGTATCAACAGCCTCCTGCTGTCCTGCCCTTCCGGGTATTGGCGGCCGCAAGTTGCAGCAAGGCTAGATAGGTAGGCCACGGTTCTGGAGGCCCTGCTGCGTTGTTGTCGTTTCTCTGCTTGTCCCGGTACCCGGGTCAAGGCAAGCGTTTTGTTGGGTCCGAGAGTTGCCGCTGCAGGGCTGAGAGGTGTTACTGCCACAGTCCTAAAAAAGACTGGATTGTGATGTTGATTCGGCGGCAGAGCAGGCGAGTGGTTGGCAGAAGCTGTCGATGCTGTGTCGATGCTGTGTTGTGTTGCTGCAGGCATCACGCAGATCTGTCCGTGGCTTGTCGTTGACGTGACAGGACTGGGCCGGGGGGCATGGCCGGGCAGGCTGGAGCGGGGTACCGGTAGTCCGCCAACTGAATCCATTCACATGCGCACCATCTATTTGTTTGATGACTGAACCGGGCTGAAGTGGGCTTTTTTTTGAGTTGGCTGGTAGCCGCCTCGCACCACAATCGAGCACGAGATAGGCGCTCTTGGTGCTTCGAGTCATTGCCTGGGGCTGGAGCCATCATACTGTGTGCATGCAGATAGGCGCAAGCATACTCGTACAAATGTCAAAAGGGGGGCTTGGGCGGCCTGCCTCGGTCACGGTGCGACCGCCGTGTACTGCGAAGACGGCCGAATCACGAATGCAGATATGGATAGCAGACGTCGTGTTTCCTGTGGGTGATCAGGAAGGCCGAGCTTGGCTCGTCTGCATATCTCCAGTCGTCCTAAGTAACTGTTCGGTACCCGTTGCACCACGCGCATTGGCCGTGGCCGGCTCTCTCCGTCATCCACCAACGATAATCCAATCGACTTTTGTCGGTACTCAGATCCCTCTGACAGATTCCATGGATGACTTAAACGTGGAAGCAGCATGCGCATTCGGCCGCCATGCCGGTCCACGACATGATACCCACGCCAAGACGTGTCTGCATGATAGGCAGGTACCTATTGTGAAGATATCACCACATTCGACGCACCGGGAAAACACGATAATCAACACACGGCAGCATGAGTCCAGAGTATTGTTTGGTACGGCACAATCATCAATGTGAGACAAATTACATGCACGTTCTTATAAACGCCTACCCAATCTACGTTATGCCCGCTTCCGCTCTCCAGGGACCAACGATCCATTCAACGTTCAGCCCTTCTTCTCGGACCCCAACTCCCTGCTATCAAAGACTAGCCTTAGAGCCCTGGGGTACAATGGCCCGGCCTGGATAGAAAGATAAACACGGCCTGCAGTTAGCGCATGATTCCCGTAACTGGTAGGTAACCTTTCGAGGCGAGAAGACGGGACCTACTGGTGTCTTTCTGTCAATCCACTCCGGATCCAGCATCCACATGAACGCCCCCAGTAGCTTGCACAGTGTGACCCTCATCTGCAACAGAGCAAACTTTTCCCCGAGACAGGCTCTGCGGCCCCCATGGAAAGAAATAAACTCTGCTTTAGATTTGCGTAACCGGAGCTGCTTCTGGATGGATGTTACATCACCGCCCCAACGAGAAGGATCAAACTGGTCTGCTGTCGGTCCCCAAGCTTCCGGGTCCCGGTTTGTCGAGTAGCAGTTGTATCCAACGTATGTGCCGCTGGGGATTACAATGGAAGCGTGGCCAAGGAGCGTGTCCTGGGAGGTGCGCCGATTGATGAGCTGGCCGATGGGAGGAAAGAGACGCAGACTCTCGAGAATAACAGCAGTCAGGAGCGGGAGGTTGGTCAGCATTTCAATGTTTTGAGCTAGCGCGGGGATTGAAAGTCCTGTAGACACGAGTTCTTCATAAAGTCTGGCTTGAATTTCCTAAACAGCTCGTCAGCTTTGGTTTACATTCGGACCAACACAGTGCACCTACAGGATGCTTGGCTAGCAAGTAAAGAGTGGATATCAGGCACAGTTGGGGATTTTCCTGGCCAGCTACAAAGAGAACTGTCAAGTTGTCATGCATCTTTTTTTCATCCCACTGACCGGACTGGTGAGCATCTAGCAGCCGGCGGCCCAATCCATCTTTGGGCCAGGGCGCTGACGATTTTGCGGAGGAGGGATCGTGGCTTTCGATCAAAGCATCCCTGAGGGCGCCTCGAAACTTGTCCACAGTTTTCCTGGCACGTAACCGACTTGGAAATGGAAACTGGTCCAAAATGGGAAAGTTCATAAAGATGGGCTTGAAAATCTCACGCTTGACTGCCGATTGCAGAATGTTGATGGGTGCGTTGTCCGAGAGAGCCTAGTAGCACCGAGTGTTAATCTCACGTGTGGTCTTTTTTCCAGCGTTTTGTGAAAGGACGTAAGAATGTACTTGCATCAAAGTTGGTCTGCAAAATGACCTCAGAGCAGTTGGCCACGGAATACCGCTGAAGCAACTCCTGAACAGCAACGCCACGGCCTCTTCCACCGCGCGACTGGGCATCTTTCACGAGCATGCACAATTTGTCGGCATTCAATGCGATCTTGTCCACCTCGAAATTGTTTCGTTGCAGCCCTGGCCGGATGACAGACTGGTATTTCTTCCAGACTTGACCATGGCTAGAGATGATGTTGTCGCCTAAGGTGGTACCCTGTGTCAGCTATTTTGCCCGTGTTCATTGAAGAGAAGCAAACAATAATTAGGTACCAAGAAACTGTGCCAAAACACTATGAGGGATCTTTTTTTGATTCCCGCTCTTTTCGTACAGGTCTTCGTCCTTGAAGATCTCGGCGATGTAAGAGGGCTTGTGCACCAAAATATTCCATTGAGCCGCAAAGAAGAACTTGACAGCGCCGTGAGTGCGAAGTGGCTTGTCGATATATTGACGAAAAATGTCGGACTGGTCGACATCCTTGAAAAAGGGAATGAGGGCTACCCAAAAGGGGATGGTAGGGATGTTCTCGGGGTATCTTGGTGGTAGCAAGAAGATATAATAGACTAGGAAAATAGCGATGGCTGCGAGAAGCAGTAGCTCTGCAATGAATCCCAACATTGTTGTGGTCTGCTATGTGATCTAGAAGATGAGACTCACGGCTGCTTGCAGTTCAACCTTTCGGGATATAAAGCATAACCTAGATGATCGTCGCGCTCAAAATAGCAGGTACGCGATGAATATTCATATATGGGCACTGTATTGGTCGCAGATAGGTCGCATTTCGCTGCTGCGCACGTGTGGCCCAATGCAATGGGAGAGGAGGTGCAGCGGCAGGGGGGCTAGGTTAGCGCTAACACGCAGCGAGGCTGGAGGGATGGAATGGGGATGAGGCCTGTATTACTCGGGACCCCAGCTGCACCTCAGCATGATGTGAAGCCGTATGTTTTTGAAGAGGTCGAGATGGATTGCTGCTGTGTCCCGTAGGCTGTGGCAGGTGCTGCGCCCTCACACACCCCGGGCTATGGAGGTGCTGGAGTATGAAGTCGGAGGCCCGGGCGGCCGGCCGGCTGTCCGCTGTGAGTAGGTTATTGTCTTTAGGTAGCGCTTTTCTCGGTGTGACCAGCCCGGAATTCCTTGAACTGAACCCAGCTTAACCCTCTCCCTTTTCTGTTTTTTATAAAATAAAAAAAAGTAGAAGAAAACGGAATACCTGTTCTATTCCATTTTGCTTCTCAGTTCACAAAACCTGTTCATCCCTAATTGGCCCTGTCAATTTGCTGGGGCATGCCTGCAGAATGGTAAGGTTTGAGCTCACCGTCCAGATAGGACGCTCTCGACAATCTTCTCCGCACAGAGCATCTTCCTCTCAGTCCAGATCAAGATCAAGATCACGCACCCGCCATAGTCGCCCCCATTCTCCCGAAGACAGAATCCCTCTAGTTGAACGTGTTCCCCCTCCTGCTCGTGATGATGACCCGGCCTCGATATCCCTGCCTCCTTCCCCGACAGACAATACTCCCGAGAAAAACTCTTTACCTTTAGGTCCCCGATCCTCCCATCAACACCTTTCCACGTCCAATAATGAGTCTTTACCGAATGGCCCGCCACCAGCAGACGAGCCGCCGGGCCTGAATCCGAGTCCGAAGCAGGATGGGTCTGGGTCTTACACCGATTTCTCCCCTCTCCGTCGAAAGTTCATCTTGTCTGCTATAACGATTGCTGGATTCTTCGGGCCATTGGCGGGAGGTATATATCTTCCTGCCTTGCCGGTGCTGGAAAAAGAGTTCAATGTTAGCCCAACCGCCATCAATGTGACGGTTTCAGTGTTCATGATGACTTTTGCGTTCGGTGTAAGCCTTTACCCTCCCCCATCCCATCAACAGACAACATAGATGCTGATGTCGTCTACAGCCGCTATTCTGGTCCACTTTTGCAGATTGGAAGGGTCGCCGTCCATTGTACTTGATAAGCCTTGCCATTTACATCTTGGCGAACGTGCTTCTTGCTGTAGTACCAGCAAACTACGGAGCACTGGTGTTTTTGAGGGTCGTGCAGGCGTTTGGCAGTGCTAGTGTTGTTAGCATGGGGGCAGGGACAGTTGCTGACGTGGGTAGATATATTCGCCTTTCTCGTTGCCAACTTGCTAACGTCAGTCCATCCCAGATCACGGAGCCGAAGAAGCGAGCATTCGCAATGAGCATTTTTCTCATGGGCCCTCAATGCGGTCCTGTCCTGGGTCCCGTGTTGGGTGGTGCATTGGCAGAGGCGAACTGGAGATGGATTTTCGGATTTCTTGGTGTGTTCTTCCCTGCATGATGTGCGTCCGCCGACTAACGAGGTGCCAAAGCGATTTCTAGCGGCATACTTTGGCTTGTGATTCTCTCTTCTCTCCCTGAGACTCTTCGCGCCCGCGTGGGCGGAGGCCGTATCTACACAGAACGGCCCATCTTCTTTTGGCCCCCTTCCATGTCTTCACCTCTCGCGCCGAGGTGGGAAAGGGGTCCTCCACCGCCCATCCCAACCCTCAAAGGGTATTGGAACCTGTTCATTTACCCTCCCATCGGCATCGTCAGCTTCAACACTGCTATGCTTTACTCTACCTACTTCGCCATTGCCGTACAACTTCCGACCGAGCTGAGTCAGCGATACAAATGGGGCCCATCGGGAATCGGCGCTGGCTTTCTGGCGGTAGGAATTGCTATGATTGTGGGGAGTTTGCTTGGTGGTAGAGCCTCGGACTGGAGAAGGGCGAGGGCAGCAGAGCAACTGCCAGAGGACACCAAGATTGATCCAGAGTTTAGACTTGTGGACCAGATCTGGGGCGTGTTGATTTGTGTGTTGGGGACTCTGCTATATGGATGGATGGTGGATGGTAGCAAACATCCAGCAGCAGTTTTGTTTGCCACATTTTTGAGTATGTACTCCTGTCAGATAACTTCCGCCGCAACGGGAAACTAACCAGCGGTATTTAACAGCCGGATTTGGGATGAATTGGGTCTTTGTCACCACTACAGCATTCTTGACCGAATGTGTTGCTCAACAGGCGGCAGGAGCGTTTGCGCTGGGAAATTTGCTGAGAAACCCCTGGGCTGCCATTGTGTCGGTGATAACACCAACACTGGTGGCCAAGATGGGGAGTGGATGGTGCTTTACGGGGCTGGCGGTCTTGGATCTGCTCCTGGTTGGAACTGCGGTTATTGGTACGTGCAACTTGTTGAGTAGCAGAGCTCTGGCTTGAATGGAGAACTAATATTGTTTCTGTAGTTCTCAGACTAAAATGCCCTGGCTGGCGTGCGGATAGGGCGGCCAAGATGCAGCTGGCTGGCAAGAAAGCCGGAGGTCCGGCGGCTGTTCCTTAAGAACGGTCTTTGGCAAGTGGAAAAAGTTCGGGGCATAAAAATATAACCAACACGCCTGTCGACGATCTTTCAAAGCCTTGCAATTATCTTTTGAAATCTCTCGAAAAATTTAAAAGCCTAATGATTATCTTTCAGGGCTTTCTTCCCCAATCAAAGCCTCTATTTTACTGTCCCCACAGCGTGGTTTGGGCAAGCGCACCAGGCTTTGGTTGGGAGATGAAAGATGGCCGAGGAGAGCTGAATGGTCCGATGGACCGGCCATATAGTCATTGCTTGGGCTGATGGGCGTTGAATAAGATTAGACAAAATAACTCCTTGCGCATTCTTCTTCATCACTAATGTGACCATCCATGGGTGGATCTTTTTCACCACCTCATCTCACTGCATGCTGGATGCTGATCGGTGACAAGCTTCCCACGAGGCTAGAGTGGGTGAGTGGCTACTCAAAGCCTGACTGTCGCATGGCCATCTGAATCCAGAGCGGCGGGATCAACGCAAACGCACATTGACGATCGTAGCACGGTAGTCGGTAGAGCGAGTGTGACAGAAGGCGGAGAAGTTGTCTCCCACGACCACGATCGATATTGCTCGATCCTCCATCCCCACAACTAAAGATATGACCACCTCAACAACGCCCCCAGCGGCATCGGCAACGGAGATGTTGCTTGCGCTCGAGTTCTGACAACTCAGCCCTGCAGCCGAAAACGAAAAAGGAGGGGGCGTGTGCAGAAGAAACAGGTGACCAGGGGGGGTTATCAGATCGCTTGGTCTTTGACGGAGAATGTGGACACACCGCGGCATTTTGACCAGTTCGGCTAAGGTGTTTAGCCCGTCTGGCTCTTTTCGCTGTTCTTTAGGTAACAGAAGACGCGAGATGTGTCTTTGCAAGCGATTTCGGCTTCGACGGCGGTTCAGGTCGTTGTGGGGCCATTGGTTGTTCCAGCCAATCGCGAGCACCAACCCGATCTGATAACTTTATTTTCTCCTCCACCAAGGACACCGCGGTGGGTCCTGTTCCACTGCGCCTTGGGAAAAAACGACTGAGTGGAAAAACCATCACACGACGCCAAGTGACCACCCACAATGAAACCCCTCCTCCACCTGAACATTTCTCCATGGACTCGATAATCTGCAGGTGTTCATTGTTGGCAACAGCGCGCATGTACCTAGCATGAGACTGGAGGGGAAACGACCCTTCGATCTCTCTCTTTTGTACCGGTAGGCTGGAGGATGGCGGTAGTCAACAACCGACACGAGGATGCAAAGCATCCACCAGCGGAAACAGAGCCAAAATTGGCGCATGGCCCGTCCCTCTGCATGGTCCTCTCAACTCTCCAGGCTCATCTAGACCAGGATCATGATGGACGGGAACAGTGATGCCACACGTGGCTAATCGATAGTCTGAATGTCGCCGTTGCGTCGCTGCCACCCCAAAGAGCCTGCAGCTGAATTTGGACCTTCTCCAGGGTAACCCGGATGGCGGGACAGTCCAGTCCCCTTCATGTTTTTGTTGGTTCGCTTCCGATCTAACGTTTGGCGTCCCTACATATAACAGTGCTCTCATCCTGGATTCTGTCATCGGGTCTCTTGCTCGTTCCGGTTGAAGCATACCTTTTCCAAACCACCCAAGCCAGCTCCCCCAAACCCCCAGCAAACCGTCAAGATGGTCCACGTCGTCCTCCCCGCCCTCATTCCCGACATCAAGCGCGTGTATGATTCCTACTTTGCCGCCTTCCACCATGACCCCATGGGCGAGATCATGCTCAACATCCTCTTCCCCGGAGGCAATGTGAACTCACCAGAGTTCCGTGAGGAACACGCCAAGGGCACCCTCGCTTGGTGGCATCAGTCTGATTCCCAATACACCTACAAGTGCGTCGACACCGACAATGGCGACATTGTCGGCATGGGTCTCATCGATGTGATTCTGCGCCGCCGCTCCGTGGAGGAGCGCGCCTTCCAAGGTGTTCCATGGCTCCAAGGCGAGGCCAAGGAGCGCGCTGAGAAGGTTCTCAAGCCCCTTCACGACATGCGTGAGCAGCTTTTTGGCGACCAGCAATACATCTGTACGTCTTCCCACGGACCCATTTACGGGATAGAATTGCTAACACGAGATGCTCTTGTCCAGATGCCCACGTCATCGGTGTCCTCCCCGAACACCAGGGCAAACAGGCCGGTGCCGCCCTTGCTGGCTGGGGTCTCAGCTTCGTCGACTATACCAACCTGCCCATGTACTTTGAGGCCTCGCCCTCCTCGGTCGGCCTCTACGAGAAGCTGGGCTACGAGCGTCTCAAGGAGACCATCGTTCACAAGGCCGAGACGCTCGGCACTGCCACTGATATCTCGGTGCCTCTCATGGTCAAGATGCCCAAGTCTGCCGGTGGCATGAGCTTTTATGAGTGGAAGGAGAAGGGCTACCCCAAGTTCAACGCTGCCACTCCGGTCTCCAAGAAGCAGAAGCTCTAAAGGACAGGACCAGTTGGCTTTGTGATGAGTGGAGACGTAACAAATTGCTTCCTTTTGGGTTTCTGGGCGCGGGCTGGCATGGATTTATCAGGGCGTTTTGTTTTGGGTTGGGAAAACTGTGTATATAAACAGGTGTTTTGGTCCATGATATTTGGGGGCGGGAAATGACAGCTCATTGTATCCGTACCTGACTCTGTTGCCAAATTGATGTGTCGCCCTGGAATGCAGCCGACGAAACGAGCATGTCCCGATACCGGCTGGCCGTCGGTGTGCGGATGGCAGGGACGACAGGGACGGCATCCCACGATCAAAACTTTTCTCCTCGGTTGCGGGCGGGTGGGTTGTGGGACCCCTGTCGAGTGCCAAGTCGAATTATCAATCGGACCATGGAGATAATCTTGAGAGCCACCTCTGGGCCCCCCACACCATCCCAGCCGGGATACGGAGAACAGCTCTCTGCAATGCAGCCATGGCACCGTGCTGGAGAAAAAAGTGCGCAAAAAAGTGCGCTTTACCACTCCCCTCGCCAGGGGTGTTTATCCAACACTGGTCGGCGGTTGTCTCCTGTTCCGTACCAGATTGCCGTGCTGTCTCCAGTTCTTTCCGACCCTTGCGGCCCATATTGAGCATGGTGTACCTGGAGGGGTTGCTTTTGTGTGTTTTCGACGGGACGGCAGTGAGCATATAGAATGACGTTCTCGGCACCACAGGGTCGCCGACATCCTGCTGGTGAGTGACAGTGCCCAACCCAGACAGTTCCCGCCATGGCCGAAAAACCACCACAGAGGATGACGCTGCTCCAGCGGCTGCGAAAGGCCATCCTGTTCCTCAGGCTGGTGGGTTATGGTCTTCGCACATACTACAACTTCTTTTCCCGCAGTCTGTCGGCCAAGATTGCGAACCGACTCGCAAAGTCGGACGCGTCCATCGGTCCAAACGACGTCAAAAACATTGTCATCGTTGGAGCTGCCTTCTCAGGCCTCTACGCTGCGCGCCTCCTGGCCGGCGCCGTGCCCCGAGATGGCCGCTACCGCATCGTCGTGATCGAGCCAAACAGCCACTTCAACTTCACCTGGGTCTTCCCTCGCTTTTGCGTCGTCGAAGGCCATGAGCACAAAGCCTTCATTCCCTACAGCCCCGACTTTTTTGACATGGGGCCCAAGGGGCTGGTGCAATGGGTACGTGACCGTGTGACCAGTCTCACAAGGGAGAACGTGCTCCTGCGGAGTGGCGAGGTGATCCCGTACGATTATCTTATCATAGCCACCGGATCCAACGTCGCCGATGGTCTTCCGTCCCGCGCCGGCGTGGAGGACAAGGAGGAGGCGATTGAGCTGCTGAAAGCAATGCAGGAGCGCGTCAAGAATGCCAGCCACATTGTCATCGCCGGAGGTGGCGCTGCGGGCGTCGAAACGGCCACGGATGCAAAGGACCGATATCCGGGCAAGTCTGTCACCATTGTGCACTCTCGGCAAACCTTGATGCACCGTTTCGGCAACGGACTGCAACAGGGTACCTCGGAAGCCATGGAAAGACTGGGCGTCAACGTCATCCTCGGCGAGAAGGTGCTTCCAGAGTCTGTAGACGGAAAGTTCATCACACTGAGCTCGGGACAAAAGATTGAGTGTGACTGCTTCGTAGGTTTATTTTTGATACCACAAATCGAGATTCGATGCTGACAAGACACTGCTGATAGATCAACTGCACCGGGCAAAAGCCCGCCTCCGGCATCGTCGCGAGCCTCGCGCCAAACACAATCGCCCCGTCCGGTCACATTCGGGTCAAGCCCAACCTTCAAATCGATGACGATTCCCTTCCGAATGTATATGTCTGCGGTGACGTCGCCCAGGCCAAGGTGCGGAATCCCAACTCGCGAGTGGCGGCGCGCCAGGCCGAGATCTGCGCCGACAACGTGGTGCGGGCCGTTAAGGGCAAGAAGCCCAAATACGTCTTTACCGAGGGGTTTGGCGATGGCGTGATCAAGTTGACTTTGGGTTTGGTATGTCGAAGCCTCCAAGTGGCCGCAAAGTAAGAATCACTGGCTAACGCTGGGCAAAACAGGACCGGTCCATCACGCAGTATTTCGATGGCAAATCGGAGCTTCTGTTCCCTGCCGAAGAACCCGATCTTGACCTCATGTGCAAGGGAACGTGGGCTGCCATGGGAGCAAGGCCTTTTGAGGATACTGGCGTGTACTCTGAGTGAAGGCGATAGTCAAGGACATCAGGTTGCGGGATGTGTTGCTCCACTGAGCATGGCGGAAAGTCGCAAGCCCGTGTGGTGATGATGGGCAATGTCCTGGCTTTGTGCTTCCACAGCGAGCCAACTTCCGCAGCAAGCCAACAGTTCATCGATTGGCACGTCCAATGACAGGAGTCTTGGGCCAAGATGAACACCAGGACACGCCGCAAAGCCAGCCAGCAAACCAGGTCGCGTTCAGAGGCGGTGTCAGATACATCGGTGCTGCTACGCTGACGCGAGATGGGAAGAATTACGCGAGGTCGTCGAGCAGGGCATCGCTCTGGGCGCGGCGAGCTTGCATCTCGAAAGGCTGGCAGCTTTTTGCAGGCAGATAGATGAGTGGTCTGTGTCGAGTGTCCAAACATTAGCAAGGAGATGACAAAAACGTTTGGCTCGAAGCCTGCGGTGCCTGGGAGTGAAGCATCATGTCAAGTACCGCTGGTGGCGTTGGGAACGATCAGCCACGCTATCAGGCACTGCGACAGTAACGACAAGTAAATAATGTTTCAATAAATCGAGTTGACAGAGGCATTTCCAATGCTGATCATATGTACAAGTGCAAATTGAAGAATGCTCAGGTCCAGGTGGTGCCAGCTCCAGAGCTTGGAGCTTAGAGTGCCCCCACTTTTTTCTCCAACAGGCACCTTGACGGACACCGCTTGTACGACCCCACGCACCGATATGTCCAATCTTGTCACCTCCAATTCCATCCCAATGCAACAACAGACCATTACAGCGACCAGCACCAGAGGTACGTCCCCCATTTCCCCATTTCCTGCCTCTATTCTAACTCGGTCGTGTTGAACAGGCGCGCCCCCGTGTCAGTCACCCCTTTCCCCGTGAACTTGTTGTCGGATAGCCGAAAGGCCACAACGTCCACCTTCGGCTCGCCTTGATGCAGTTGGTGGAGGACTCCCTCAGGACCGGCAGCAACCGCCTTGGCCTGGATAACCCCAGCCATCACCACAATACCTACTCTGGAATTCAGGCCGCGAATGTGTCGCACAAACTCGACAATGCTTTTGCCAGTGTTGACCACCGAGTCGACCAGCAGAACCGTCTCGAGCCCCAACAAGTGACGCGCTTCGACGTCTTCTGGCCTTTTGGCATGGAGAAAAATGGCAAGCGGAAGCACATCACTGATACCGAATGCCATGGGCTCGCCCCCGCGCATAAGGGCCACAATCGCTGTCTTCTTCTCGTTCTTTACGCGATGGCCAAGTGTCTGATGCCCCTGAACGTGCGGAATCTCGTACTCCTCGGTGCCAACGACATCCGGCAATAGCTCTGTTGCAAGATACCGCCCCACGAGTCGATGTGCCTCGCGCAGTGCCGGCCCCGAAACTCTTGCGTCACGCGTGGCTGTTGTCAGAAGCTTGGCAGCAGCTCTGCCTGTGGCATGAACGATGTGGTGTTCGGCAGTTGGCTGACGTCGGTGGTCACGTTGACGGGATATTTCGAAAAGAAATTCGGAGCTCTCGATATTGACAAGGGGAAGTCTTTCAACATCCTGGCGCGGTGCTGCAGTCTCTGGTAGCAAGACTTGTCGCGGACAAAAGTTACCCGAGTCGATGGCCTGGAGCAAGTGCGTTTCCATGCTTCTGCTCCGCACATATTGCTCTCCTACCACTACAATAGCCTCGTCCGCTGCGCGCAACATGGGAATGTCCAAGGGGCTATCTCCAAAGGCCCATACATAGAGGCCATACATGTTTTGCAACCGCTCAACCAGCGACGCCTTGACTTGGGCTGTGACCACAAACCCGTCCGAAATGCGCCCTCCGCCAATGACTTTGACTGTCCCCATCAACCCGTGATTCGCCAGGACGATCTCCCAAACACGCCGCAGACCGCACGTTACCACCACTGCTGAGACATTCCTCTTGCGCTCAGCTGTTTGCAGCAGGGAAACCATTGCTGGATGCATCTTGACCAGGGACGCTATGTTCCGGCAAACCCCCTCAAAGACCTGCTCATCGGAGTATTGTTCATAGAGCAATGTTGCCTGGCGAAAGGCTGTGTACGAGTATCCCAGCTGGCTGCTGAAGAGCGTGGTCAAAGGATCTTCGCACTTTCCTTCCAACGAGCTCGGATCGAGTAGATTCTTCTTCAGCATCACCTCCCAAAAAAGCTTGCCCGTATCCTGAGTAGCCAATGTTTTATCGGCATCCAACACCAGCATTGTGCACGGCTGCTTGCAGTCCATCGTGAAGCCCGACCTGAGGCTGATGCTGTCTAGGCGATTCTGCGCAAGCCGTAGGTTGTGTTGGGAGCAATGGTGCTGAAAGTCCAGAAGAAGGTTGATCGTCCTCACCGACAGGGCCCCCCTTTCTGCTTCAGACAACGCAATGAACAGGATGCCGCTGCTACGACACAGCCGCTGGAGCTCCCTCTTTTCCGTTTTGGCCCAGTCGTCCAAGCGAGCCGGAGTCATTGTGGGCCGCTCTCTCCCCTTGTCGTCTTGACGGCGCAGCGAAACGATATCTGCCGCCGTGTCGAAGTAGATGACGTGGGTATAGGTTTCGAGGTCGGCCTTGGTGCAGACCCTGTGGTACTGCTGGTCTTTCTCGGACCAGAACATAAAATGACCGGCAACAACGGCAACCTTTTGGTTCTTGGTGGCCTCATTTGCAATGGCATTGATCGCAAGTTCACGATAGCGCGCTTTCTCGTCCTGGCTGGCCTGGTGGAAAGCGGCAAGGCCTCCTGGAAGCAGAGAGGCAATAGCTTGGGAGCCTTCATGAAAGCTGAATTGCTCCTCGCCCAGCCTGTTCTTCAACTCGACTAGCATGGACGACTTGCCACAGCCAGGGATGCCGTACACACCGACCACGACTGGTTTGCTGGCTTGAAGAGAGTTTTTGGGTCCTGAATATGGAGTCGCCATCGTGTCGGCGTCAATATCACTTTGCTGCTGCTTGGAAACAACGGTGGCGAGCTGGAACGATGAGAGTATGCGTTTAACATCTCTGTCTTTTCCTTGCCGGTGACGCCAACATATACTCGTCTGTCCATTCCCTCCCGTTCCCTCCCTTCCAGTCTCAGTTTGACTCGGCCGCTCGCGATGGTTGTAGGCCTCACTGCTTCCGCTCAGCAAACACTCGGATTCAGGTTGCACAAGTTGAGGCCTACCATGACTGCCCTGGTGCGCATTCTCGCACATGCGTGTCTCCGGTGCTTTCTTTCGTCATGTTCATTCACCGCTCCCACCTCTTGTTGAATCATATCACCATCCTGGCTCACGTCACTATCCAAAGATGGATATGCACAGCGCAAACACGGAACAGGCTGAGACGATGCACTGGGGAACAAAGTTTTGGCCATGAAGCTTCATTACGATTCGTCAAGGTTTCATTCGTGTCATATTATACATTAACCCACCCGGCTGGGCTGCCCCTGTTCGGCACCCTCACGGGTATCAAAATATACAAGGATCACTCCGTCCGCGTTATTCAGAGGAGGGCGGCCATGGCCAAGGGGAGAGCGGCACCGACGAGGCCGGCGGCGAGGCCGGCGGCGCCAGAGCCGGGAGTGCTGGTCTCGGCAGGGGCGGCATCGTCGGTCGTGGTAGGGGTGGCAGCAGGACCAGCGCTGGACGAAGCAGAGTCGGTGGGGAGCTCCAGGGTGCCGCCGCCGATGGTGGTGGTCATGGGAGCAACCTCGTCGCACATGGAGATGACAGAGGGAAGGACCTCAGCTGCGGAGAGATTGATGGTCAGCAAGCACTCAGAGCCAAACAGGGCGGTAAAACATACCAACAGCAACGTCCTGACCGCAGGCAACCATGACGCAGGCAACGCTGGCATCGTAGATGGCACGGTAGTTTTCGAGAATGCAGAAGCACTCGAGCTCGGTGTCGTCCTTGCAGGTGGTGGCGCTCTTGCGGGCGTCGCTGAGGCACTTGAGCGAGCACTCGGGAACGTAGTCACCGAGGGTGGTGTGGTCGTGACCCTCGTGGGCAACAACACCGGTAACGGCGGCAGCGAGGAGAGCGGTGATGTACTTCATTTTGGCAGAAGGATGGGTCTCGACGGTTGTTGAGTAGGTAGTAGCTGGTGGGAGGCAGAGAACAACAAGATCAGGGCGGGCGATCACTTTCCCCCGAGCTCAGCTCTTGCAGAGCTCTTTATAGGGTCACATCGAATGGAGTGGGTAGCCTCGGTTCCTGGTGGGCGGGTGTGTCTGCAACGGAGGCCCTGCTGGGCGGCGACAAGGGCTGTCCGGTCTCGCATCGCAGTGCAGAGCTTGCGGCGCTATCGCCAATAGCCCCGTCGAGGCCGTGCATGCATGGGCCTTGGCAATCAGATGATCAGATAATGGAGATTAGATCGAACCCCTGTCTATCGGCCGTGGCCAATTTCTTTTCTTCGAATCGGGATGCAGAATTTGCCGGGGCTCGACCCCTCTCTCGTCCTCGTCCCGGTGAAGGATGGGCTTGGGGGTGGGTGACTGTGGAACCAGGTTGCCCCATCCGCCCGCCGAGGATCCGGAAATTCTCGCAAGCTAGTTTTGGGAGTGTGTGATTTGGGAGTGTGGGAGTGTGAAAGTATGGGAGTGTGCATGGCTACGATTGATGGGTCTGTTTGGGTGGTAGAGAGGTGCAAAAGGGGATTAACTCGTTAATAAAACATCACCCACGTCTCTCGCCTGTTTTGCTACTTGCCTTGCTGTGTTCCGTCTTGCCATTCTTGGCATATATCGTTTCTTCCTCTGTCACCACCGTCCACTGCCGCAGCCATGGCCACGGAGAAGCAGCCAGCCAGCTTGTCGGCGGATGAGGGCGTTGGTCCCGTCGTCGAAGAGAGAGGACACAGCTCTGCCGACCTGGAGAAAGACGCCATCTCCAGTGATGCTCAGGCTGGTGTTCGAGCTATCGAGGCCGCGCAGCTCGTCTGGCCAAAGTCGCACCTCATTGGAGCCTATGTCTTGTAAGAAGACGGTTGAACAGACAGCTTGAGGATGGGACGCTAACCGGTGTATTCGACAGCATCTGGCTCATCTACTTTGTCACGTCGCTGCAGGAGGTGTGCGCCCGGGCGTACAGCCCCTTCGTTACCAGCACCTTCTCTTCCCACAGTCTGACTCCCGTGGTGTACATTGTCTCAAGCATTCTTGGCGGCGTCTCCAAGCTGCCCCTGGCCAAGATTCTTGACATTTGGGGTCGGCCGCAGGGCATGGCTCTCATGCTCCTCATCTGGACGATTGGCTTCGTCATGATGGCTGCGTGCAAGAATGTTACGCAGTACGCGGCCGCCTATGTGTTTTCCACCGTTGGGTAAGTTCAGGCATGGTACAAAGTCGAGTTTTACCTGGATCTTGAGAAACTGACCGGCACCGTGACCACCAATAGTGCGCAGGGCATCAGCTACTGCATCACCGTCTTCGTTTCCGACACGACCAGCTTGAAAAACAGAGGTCTGATGCTCGCCTACGCCACCTCCCCCTACATTGTGACGACCTGGGCCGGCGGTCCCATCGCCGACAGATTCATCATGAACGGAGGTCCTGGTTGGAGATGGGGCATGGGCATGTGGGCCATCGTCACGCCCGTGATTGTCACCCCCTTGATTCTCATCTTTATTTACAACCAGCACCGTGCTGAAAAGATGGGTCTCATCCAGCCGCGCCAGTTTGGAAAGATTACCTTTACCCGCGTCAAGGAGGCTGTGATCCAGATGGATCTCCTCGGCATCTTTATCCTCGGCGTCGGTCTCTCCATGTTCCTTGTTCCCATTGCCATCTACAAGTATCAAGCCGATGAATGGCGCTCACCGCTCATCATCTGCCTTCTCATCTTTGGCGGTCTCCTCGTGGCCGGCTTTGTTGCCTATGAGAAGTGGCTCGCCCCCGTCAACTTTGTCCCTGCCCACCTCCTCCGCCACCCCAACGTTCTCCTGGCCGGCATCATGCTCACCCTCATCTTTGCCAGCGCCATGGTCTGGGGCAACTTCTTCTCGTCCATGTGCATGGTCGCCTGGAACACCACCGTGACCGAGGCCACGTACATCTCCAACATTTACCGCACCGGCATGTGCTTCGCCTCCATCCCCCTCGGATGGGCCATTCGAAAGACTCGTCGCTTCAAGTGGGTTGCCGTCTACTACTCGCTGCCGCTGATGCTCCTCGGCATCGGCCTGATGATTGAGTTCCGCCGCCCCGACGTCAACATTGGCTACATTGTCATGACGCAAATCTTTGCCTCGTTTGCCGCCGGGCCCTTGGTTGTCGCATCCGAGCTCGCCATGATGAGCCAGGTCACCCACAACCAGATGGCTGCCATCCTTGCCATCCTGGACCTCTTTGGTAGTGTAGGCACGGCAGTTGGCTCCACTGTTGCGTCGGCCGTCTGGACCAACGTGTTCCCCGGGGCCATCCGGGACAGGCTTCCCCAGCTGACCGACATGCAAGTCACCAGCATCTCTGGAAGCATGTACACACAGCTCGGCTACCGCAAAGGCACACCCATCCGTCTCGGCATCTCATGGGCCTATCACGACGCGCAGCAAGTCTTGTTGATTATTAGCATGGTTATGATCGGCTGCGGCTGGATCTTGACATGGTTCTGGAAGAACACCAGGTTGTCAGACAAGCAGTCCCAGCACTAGGGGTCATTGGGTAGATACAGACAGATGCATGTTTCATTGGATAATTTGATACCAATTGGCCGGGAGGCGAAATAGCTCTCTGCACAGTGAGCAGAGGGTTCAGCATAATAACAAGGTGTTTTTCCAGGCCTGATGGTCTTATGACCTGTTCTGTATTTTATATTTGTGACTAATTAGGTAACTACCATACTATGTCTTCCATCCCATCACATGGGCTGAAGAAAAATCTATAAAAGGGGTATCAGTTGAGTTGAAAGCACGCCTCCGCCTCTTCCTCCCTCTCTTCCTCTTGCCACCGCAGCACCTGGTCTCCGTCGTGGCATCGCCCAAAACGGACACGGGGTATTTGTTGAAAACAGATTGACTCGCTCGCATCCATAAAAGCATCCCGTCATCTCCTTAGGGTATCCAACCATCATGATCATTAGTATCTATTGAGCCTCAGTTGCACTCACTTGAAACATTGCACACACACCCAAAACGCCCGGCGACTATACGTTACGTTGAATAAACATGCACACGGAATATCGACTTGGTCTTCAAAGCCGAAGGACTTAGTCCTTCTTGATGGATGGCTCAGACGCTTGCTGAGGACCAGAAGACAAGCCCGGAACGACACCGCCATCCCGAGACACGGGCTGGACGCCAAGGGACTCGGTAGGGGGGCCGCGGTAGTTCTTGTGACCCCAGACGGCGTACCACGCAGCCGCGATGGCCACGAAGCCGACCAAGACAGCAGGAGCATAGTTGACCGTCTCGGGAGTGACAGGAAGCAGGGCAGGCATGCAAAAGAGCGGAAGGGCGAGGGCGGACCAGGCTGCAGAGATGATTAGCATGTGGAAAACCGAGAAGTCAGGTGCTGCCAAGGGGAAACATACCCAGAGCAATGATGTTGCAGAGCCAGCCAAACTTGCCCAAGAAGAACTTGCCGCCCTTCACCTGGGCTCTGCCCTCGAGCATGGACACGGCGATGGGGGCGGCATACGAGAGGGTCAGGGAAATGACACCCACGCCGGAAAAGGCGTTGAACGCTACGGGAGATCCAAAGTAGATGGCACCCAGAATGATCTGAATTGCCATGGACAACATCATGGCGTTGAGGGGAACATCCAGCTTGGTGTTGACCACCTTCCACCACTTGGAACCGGGGATGGCACCGTCGCGAGCAAAGGCCCACGTGCAGCGCGAAGCAGCGGTTGTGCAGGCGGTACCGCAAAGGATACCCAAAACCATGATGGGAACCAGGAGGGCAAAGGCACCCCCTTCGGAGCCAACGGCAGACTTGAGGATGGCCGGGACAGGCTGTGCCAACTGCACCATCAACGCCAGGTCGGGAAGAACAAACATGAGCGGTACGAGGAACAGGAGCCCGCCAATGGTGTTGATGAGGATGGTAATAACCATGGCCTTGGGGACCTGGGTGGCGGGATGCTGGACCTCCTCGCACATGGAGATGACCATACCGGTAGACGAGGTGGCATACCCGGCGTGAAGGAGGCCGACCATGAACGACCAGCCGGCAGGCCAGCCGGAGGTGGGCTCAAAGTGGGTGAAGGCGTATTCGGCGGAGCGGCGGCCTTCCTTGGCAACGGCGAGGACGGTAATGAGGATGGCAAGGATGCCGGCGAAGGTCCAGAACACGGCAAAGGTCTGTAGAACAGCAAAGGTTAGCGACAGACAAGCATGACACGGGATGCGAGACTCACATCGAGGAGGGGCAAGTGACGGTTGCCAAAGGCCGAGATGGCATTGCACAGCAAAGTGATGGCCAAAAAGGTCAGCCAGATCTGGTATGTCTCGGCGCCCCAGATCTCCTCGCCCTCGGAGTTGGTAAAGACATTGACGCAGGCAACATAAAACAAGGTGGTTCCGAACTGCACAGCAAGAGTGATGGTGATGTTGCCGACGACATAGCACCAGCCGCAAATGTAGGCGCTGAGCCTGCGAATCTTTGCGGGCGCAAGCATAAAGGTCTGGTAGTAGACACCTCCGGCGGTGGGATACACGCTTGTGATTTCTCCCAGCGAAGCGGCGACACAGAGAATGATCAGGGAGACGATGACCCAGCCCCAAATGACAACGGCCGGGCCGCCGCCTTGGAGCGGATAGTAGAGCGTCGTAGCGAGACCGTAGGGGATCGAGGCGAGCACAAAGGACATGAAGGCGACATGCCAAGTGGAACGAGTGCGCACCAACTCGGCCTTGTAGCCCATGGCCTCGAGGAGCCCATCGGCATCGTCAGAGTCGTTGCCGGACGACGCCCGTATCTCGGGGGCGGCCACAACGGCGGCGGCGCCGGTGGCGGCTTGTGGGCTCATTGGCGGGTGGTTTTTGGGGCTCTTGCGGGGCCGGGCCGAGATGGGTTCGGGGGTCGGACGGCTAAACAAACAACAGCTGGCGCAAGACGCAGAATTTTGCAGACGGCAGGAGAAACGTGAGCCTTGTCAAACACAAAAAAAAGAGACGACGAAAGGATCAGGGTGGGATTTAAGCCATGTAGGAAGCTGCATCCTGCCCGAGGTACCCTCTGATTACGTACAGATAAGCTGCTCCCCGGGGAGCCAAGCACCCGGAGTGGCAGGCACAACCAGGTGAGCCATGTCCCCGGGGAAGCGCTACAGCATGCGCTACTGTTATCTAGGAACAGTGTGGGGTGCCTAAGGTATCAGGTATTCCAGTGTTTTTTTTTTGTGCTTGCAAAACCAACAGCCAAGCAGTTGGGCTCCCGAGGCTGTGGCAGGTGGCTTCAGCGGTGTCTCATTCTCCTGTTATTCGTTCCACGGTACTAGGTATCAGACAGTCTCACAGTGTTTTGGAGCCATCTGATTTTCCAGGTCGTTTTTTCTTCAATGGTAGGCACGTGAGTCGGTGGCCTGTGCAGCACCTGGCATTGGCCAATGGACATGAACGGTTTTCCGACACAGGGTCGAGCTAAGCATTTTTTGGCGTCATTGGGCATGAGAGAGTGGGGGTCCAGCTCTTGTCCCGAACCGCGGCGCTGGAAGTGCTTTCTCAACGTCTCACTGCAGAGTCTTCCACGCCCGTGGAGCTGTCAAGAACACGCTGCAGTTTAGACAGATGGTTAGCGTGTCCCTTTTGACAGAGAAACATCACACCATGCCCCGCGATTATCGCAATCCTGGGCTTCAATAGCTTCTGTTTTTTGCGCCCGAGAAATTCCGGGGTCAAGCCAAGAACCTGGGGATTGGCTTGCTAAATCCTCTCAGGTGGGGAATACCTGTTGGTTGCATGTGAAGACCACCTGACAGATAAACAGTATTTGAGCAATTGTTGACATTGCCAGCACACTTGGACATGCTATTCTATACTCTTTTGACCCAGCCATCAGCGGGTATCATTATCTCCCGGGAATCATCCTGCAACAGAACAGTATAGTGTGTTTACACATGGCCACGGCCAGAGCGTGCAATAGGCTCCCCAACATAGTCGTACACCATCTTCACCTTGGCTACTTGGCTCCCTTTCACGGTTACGGCCCACTTGACCAGCCTTTTCTCCCCAGCAATCACCTCGAAGCCCCATTCGACACTCGACCTCCATCCAGCGCCCTTGCCCAACTGACTCAAACTCTCCATCACCTCGATCATGACGGCCCGTTCCGGTAGGCCGACATCAGGATCCGTCTCCATTCTCGACTCAAACGCCATCTGTCCGATCTGAGCACCGCTCTTTTCCGTTGTCATTTTCTCCCCTGTTGTGTACGTTGGTGTTCTGTTGACAAAATCATACCGACATCGTACACGCACCGGCCCTAGTGGCGCGGGAAGAACGACGGCTCGGTCCTCGTTGTCCAAGATGTACATGCTGTCGTTCATGGGAATGTTGAACCTGAAGCCACCAAACCAGGGGCGGCGGACGGTCTGTTGAAAGCTAAAGACCACATCGTCGGAGAAGGGTAAGCAATAAGGGTGCTTGATGTATTCCTGCTCAATGGTCATGAAGGAGAGGAGCTTCCGAGTCCAGAAAGATGTCCCTTGCTGCTCCATGTTAACAACACGACAAAACGATGCCTCAGGAACGAAAGTCGTACCATCTTGTATGCCTCCTTCATATTATCAGAGAGCTTTCGGTTGAAGCGCCAGCGGCCACTGATGTCGAGTACTGAAGTCTGACTAGGCGCCGCCATGGTGTATGTGAGAGCGTGAGTAGTGGGCATTGGCGATGGCGACAAGTCTTCTGATGAATAGTCTGTCATTTTAACAATTTGTTGTCCTGTGAGAGATTGTTTTCTGAGCAGTCTAAAAACGTTTTCGGTGGCGGTCAAGTTTGTTTCCGTTCGCGACTGCTTCGTTCCGAGCGATTGTCGCACAGTTTTGTAACAGCGGGTGCCCGCATTCTATCGAAAGTTGTCCTTCCCCGCGACGCGCCCGCTCAGATAGTTGACTGGAATGTGGTGGTTTGATGCAAGGGGGTTGGCAGGACAGATACTAGAGGCCGATGAAACCATCGTATTGATGTGAGACAGTTCATTTTCAAATCTTGAAAACCGAATGCGGGCCACTTCAAGAAACTCGGCAATTGTGTCTCGGCAGAACATGTATTAAGCACAATCTTGCAAACATAACACTTAAGGTGTCCAGTCTTGGCGGTGAAAGAGGCCGGTTATGGGATGGTAAGTAGTTGGTAGGGTAATATATCGGTTTCATCTCTATCGAGGCCGTGGGCTTGATGGAAACATCATCTGGGCTGGGTTTTACTTGCGGGAGGACTTTCATGACCCTGTTCAGTCTAGCCTGGATCAAACCGTTTGATACAGCGATGCATATACATGCCTGGTTAAGAACAAAGCAGTCTATAATCAAATATATGGGGTTGATCAAGCATGGCAAGCTGTAAAGAGTCTCGAAAAGCCTCCCCTTGTCCAGTCGGTGACACCATTAACCTCACGAGGTCAGCTTCCGGCACCCATCTAAAACTAAACAAATATTTTTCCAGCCCAAGAAGATGCCCTCAATATTGTTGGCATCATCCACACTCTGCACCTCCTTACGCGGGGCTTAGCTTGGCTTCATTCGAAACATCCTCAGACTTCATCCTCTCTTCGGCCTGGGCAACAGCACTCTCCCAGTCAGCATTGTAGAGGTAGAGGAGCTCGAGTGCCGACACACTGGTTAATACCTTGTCAGTAATGCCATTTCCTAGTTGTCTTCAATGTCTTCAAAGATCAGCGTCCACTTACACGGCAAGCCCCATAGTCAGTCCTGTCCAAAGCCCGCTCAGCTTCCAATCTAGCGCAAACGCCGTCGACAACGAGATGGGCAAGGCGACCAAGTAATACGAAAACAGGTTGGCATAGCCTCCGATGGCCTGTCTGCCAACGCCGCGCAAGATGCCATGAGACACAGCAGCCAAGGCATCAAAAATCTGCATTAAAGCACAGACAAGAATTACGCGCTTGGCGATGCCGACAACCTCGTCATCTTCCGTGAAGATGCGTGGAATGGTCTCGTTCAGCACAACGAATACGGTCAGGTTGAAGCAACCAACAATGAATCCTGCGACAATGGCCTTTACAAAGGTTTAGCAAAAAAAACTTGTACCAATCAGAAAGGATGACATACCACTCTGGCAGTAACCCGGGCAGCGTCGCTTAGGTGCGCCCCGATGAGATTGGCGACTCGAGTGGATGTGGCAATGGCCAACGGGAATGGAATGTTGAATGAGGTGGAGGTGACGGTGACAAGCACGCTCTGTGCTGCAAGTTGCGCGGTCCCAAATTGGCCAGCGGCGATTGTCAAGATTTCCAGCACGGAGAACTGTGCTTCAATCATGATCATACCAGGTAGCGCCAGTTTGATCATGGGTCCTATTTTAAATGTCAGCGCCTCAAAAGGGGCAGAAAAGCAGAAACAGGTACGCACCCCAGTTACTAAAGGCCTTGCGCGTCAAACCGTTCCAGCACTGAGAGCCATCCAAAAACCGCACGTATGCCACCAACAAGAGCGGCAAGAGATTCTGGGTAATGGCCATCGCTGTGGCGGCCCCCGCAAAGTGCCAGTCAAACTTGAAGACAAACAAGTAATTGAGAGCGAAGCTCACGGGCGCCCCGATGAGCAAGGCATACGTCGTGGCATGAAATAAGCCCTGGGACTGGACGAATCTTTTACCGCTCTCCAAGGCTGCGACTCCGGGCATTCCTACGATAAGAACTCGCAAAAAGAGCGCGGCAAGCGAGGCCGTTTCCTGATCTGGGACCATGGCGGACAAAATAGGCTCCGAAAACCACCACAGCACAGCAATGGGCACCATGAGGATCCAGAGAAGCCACGTCATCCGTTGGGCTTGGAGGCCGACGAGATGCTTGTGCCCCGAGCCGTACGCCTGGGCGCAAAGCGTGTCTAGACAGGTGGAGAGGCCCTGAACAGGAACGTAGCAGGTGATGCTTGCCGTCATGGTAGCCACTGGAAAGAGGTGACTGTTAGTAATCTGGCAATTGCTGTGATGCATGAATGGAGCACTCACGATTCACGGCGGCCAGCTCCACCATTCCCAAGCGTCCCACCGTCAAGACACTCCCAATAGTGACCGAGTAGTGCAAGAGAAAGGTCACAATCAGGGGAGCTGCGTACTGGACCAATGTCTTGGTCTCTCTCTGCCAAGTCGTCTTGATGGCTTGGGCTGCCACAGCCTCTTCGAACCGCTCGTAAATCTCCTCGGCGGGAGGTGTCGGCAGGGTCTCGTCGACCTCGGGTGTTCCTCCTCCGAGGAGAGGTGTTGTCTCAGCGGCGGGGGCATCCTGGAAAATGGGCTCCGGGTCTTCGTGGTCCTTGATCTTGGTGCTGAAAAGTCGTCGATAAAGGCGCCAAAAGACATTGTTGCGCTGAGAACGTGGATGTTTTGGTGGCAGAATAGCATTATCGCGTAGGAGACTTATCTCTGCCTGGAGAGAATCTTCGACCTCGCGCGGATTGGGAACGGGCCGGTCCAATCCTTGAATAGCTATAGTCGAGTAGCCAGACCCGTAGGCAACGCCGTTGGGGTGGAAGGCGAGTTTGGCATCTTTTGGACGACCATCTGTCTGTGATTCGGCGTCTGATACCTGGGTTTGGGAGTCGTCGTCCGAGGAGCACTCGGCAATATCTCTGGTCAAGATTTCGCGAACAATCGGGGAAGTCGCTAGAAATGAAGGGGGGTATGGCAGGCTTTCGGGGATGAACTCTGACAAAACAGACTGGCGGCGACCTTGAGATCGGCTGTGGATAGGCTGGGGCCCAGATCGAGAGTCGGCCATCTTGACGTTGCGATGGTTTGTCGAAGGATTCTGTCGTGGTTAGGTTGATTTGGAAACACTCAGACTCTGGACGACTCTCGGTCTCGAAAAAGCTTGGAGACAAGGGCCCGGAAAACCGTGGAAGGTACGATGGTTGGGTGAAAGCGGACTAAGAAGAAGGTCCCACGGATGGTTGCGCGCAGGCAGTCACTGCTCTATGACATGCACTGTGGCACAAAGGCAAGTCGTGGTAGGTCTTGCTCTCTACGATCGACGATGCTCTGCCATCCCAAGGCTGTGGTCCCTTCTTATCTTGATCTGCAAGCATTTCGTTTGAGATAACGAAGGCCATGGAACCCAACAGCAGCCACACACCAACACCATCCTGCAAATTAGCGGTGTATGACATTGACATCTATCTGCACTGGCTTATCTTTTGTGTGTATGATAAAAGTAAGATGATACAACCATGGTGTGCAGATGCCAAGAAGCAATGGCACTTCGCCTCCGATCGTCCTCCTCCCCAAGGGTTCAGTGACGCAGCTTGGTTTGCAGCTTCCTGCAACTCTCTTGCAGCTCCCCACCACCCACATGTGTAACGGCGGCCACTGACATCATCGCTGCCACCCTTGGACCAACGAAGGAGCCTCGCCGACCCCCCACCCTGCCATGGAGAAAAAGCCCGAGGACCATCTGGCAACATTGTGAAACCTCAACTCTAAAATCCGCAGCGATTCGAATACCCTCAAACTCTTGCAACGGCCCCCAGTGCAATCAGAAACTGCCCACCATAGTACAAGACCCAAACAGCATGATGCATCCAGCCCTGGTGTGCAGATGTCGCCGGAACCAAGAACCTGCCCGCCGCCAGAATCGAGTCTGAGCTTGCAAACATGACCGCTCCGGTGACAATCTCTTTGCTCTCCAACGTGAGCGCCATCAAAACCATGACAAGAATTGTCAACGAGTACACGGCAACTGGCGCTCGCAGGTCTTTGCCGACCTTGGGCATCAGCTGCACAATCATAACGGGAACCAACATACCCAAAGCCCCCGCAGTTCCAAGACGCCATGTATCGCCGTTTTGCAGCACTTGGAGTTTGGAAACGATATCCCCCGCACCTGGACCGGCGTGGAGAAAGTGAATGATGTACAAGATGTGCGCAACCAGGAAGCTCGACAGACCGAACAGAAAAGATGTATCATCGTTCCATGCCAGAAAAGCGTCACCTGTTGAGCCCAGGGCCAAAGCACCCACCAACAGAGCTGGTCCACCGCGAAGGTAGGTGAAGATCGATAGGAGGGCTGTCGAAGCTGTCTTGATGACCATGCGCGAAAAGCTCGGCGCTGCGCGGACCATGGCCTGGTAGATAACTGCCGAGCCAATGGAGGCAGCGAGAACAGCCGAGTCTACCGTGTAAGAATTGGTGGCCATGGTTGAGTTTGGGGTTTTTGAAGATGAGAAATAAAGTGAAGTGTGGTTTGGTTGTTCTCGCGAGCTTCGTCCTTTCAGTTCTGACGGTGGACACCGAGGTCCCGGCCACACTTGGCATTCCATGTGACTGACGTCTTGGCAACACCCTTGATAGTCTTAGCAGAATTGAGCTCGATAGGTACTACGCTTGTTCTAGCAATCGGACGTTTGAAATGAGCAAACTTCTCATACACGCTCATAAATGCAAGAAACCCCAAGAAACGGGATGAAAAGCCCTGTTTGTATGTGGAAATGTGACAGCACGAGCCATCATGTACCCTCTTCGAACAGAGCTGTGCTACTTTTTAACGTATATTATAAGCGAGTCGTACATATAAGCGAGTCGTACAGTCTCCACCACCCTACAACAACTATCCTCAATTATACCGCAACAACATTAGGAAGCAACTACAATTACATCAGAAACAGCTAAATCAGATGATTCCCCAGCCTCCTGGCAAGTGCGCGCGTTATGGCCAGGCTTGCCGCACACACCACAGCACCGAACCGTCGTACGAGCCCCCCCTGCATTACCGCCATCCGGCTATATTTCTTCTACTACCTCCCCACCCACGGCCTTCTGGTCTAGTAGATCCTGTGCATCTTGCACAGTAAGTGATCCTCCGAGCTATACACGTGTTTTTTTAGTTCTCCGGCGCTTACTTAGTGCCTCATTGGCTTTACGGAGCGAAGAGACCTTTACCTATAAGAGGGCTATTTAGTATATTATAATTATTATACTTTTAATAAATTAATTTATAGTACTTAATATTAAAGTCGGAAAATTATTTTAATAATTAATAATATAAATTTTAATAAGCGTTAAGTATAAATTAGTTTTTCGGGGGTTTTATAATATTTAAAATACTTAAAGGAATACCGTACCCGGCTTTAAAGATAGGGATATTAACGTACGAAATATTATATTTAATTTAAAAAATATTCTTTCTAAATTATATAGTATAAAACTAATATTTATAAAATTATTTTATATATTTTTTTTTATTATAAAAATAAAAATTTTATAAAAAATATAAAAAAATTTAAATTTATTTATATAATTAATATATATATATATTAAACCCTCGATTTAGCGGCCGTATATATATTTTAGTAATTTAAAATAATTAATATTAAATAATTAAAGGAGGTAAGAGAAATATAAAAATATATAAAATATAATAATATTATTTTATTAATAATAATATTTAAATTTAATTAAATAATAATTTTTATAATTATTAAGGATTAATAACCGGTATTTATTTTTTATATAAAACGTTATATAATAATTAAAATATTTAATTTAATTTAAACTTATTAAATTAATAATTTAATTATTATTAATAATTATAATATATTAAATAAATAATAAATTATATTTAATATATTAATTAATATAATAATATTATATAATTAAAATAATAAAGGGCGAAATAATTTAATCGAAAATATTAATTTTTTAGATTACTATTATTTATTTACGGTTATTAAATTAAATTAATTTTATTTTATTAAAATTATCCGAGATTATAATTATTATATTTATAAAAATAATATTTATTATAAATTTAATTTTATTAAAATTATAAATATTATTATTTATAATATTATATTTAACCTTAGTATTTTATATAAATATAAATTATTCGGTAATAACCTTTAAATTCTCGTATTTAGCTTTTTAATAATTATATTTACGCGTAAAACGCGTACGGAACTATAATTAATATTTAACGAAATTATATATTTAAAGTTTATTAATAGGGGGCGTATCGCGTATATATAATAGTTAATTAATTATATTTTTTATACTACGTAACCTTAATAAAAAAACTTACGTAAATAGTTTAATAATATAATAAATAATAACTTCCTCTTCGGATTAAATAAGTTTCTTCGATTTAAGTGTAGTATCGCGTTGTGTAGGCCGGCCGGCGCGTCGGTTAGAGAGAGTTATAGGTGGTACGTTATAAAGCTTAGCTATAGCTCGGAGACTTAATTTTTCGTCTTTTTAGAGAGTCTTAAGGGCTAAGAGTATCCTGGCTTCCTTTGAAGTAGGAGGTATATTGGGTTATGGAAAAAATTAATGTTAGGTGTAAGGAGGATGCGTCGTGGTGGAGACTGTACGACTCGCTTATAATATACGTTATAGCAAACTCAAAACACCCTTTTCTAGTGATGTTGAATAAATATAAAAATGTTTACGATGGCAATTTGTTAGCAGCTACTCCAAGCAGTCTTTTCTTGCAAAAGCAGACCCGTGGGTTTGAGGTAGAGAGTCCACTCTAGCACATCTGCATCCTCAAATGAGATGAACCAGCGCTGAAGGAAACTGGATGGGGCTAGACTTGACCCTGTATCTTCAGACTGTGCTCTCTCTTGACATAGCTCACAAGGAGGGGTTGAAATCCGCTATCTATATGACCCGTGGAATCTGTGGTTGCCAGAACCAAACCATAGTATGGACAAGCTTTGTGACGGCAGCTTTATGTAAGGGGGAAGCTAAGCAATATAATTGCGCCTCTGGACTCTATTGAATGTAATCTAGAACTACTTTGACCCAGGATTGTGAATTTTAAAACTACGCGTAGATAGTACATCAAACCTTACTGAGTTGGTGAAACACTCAACAGCAACAACCTCTCCCATCACATAGTGTAGCTTTACCAAGAACTTATTCCTGTATCCAAACAATTACCTGTCTAAGTATCACAGTTACATAGGTACAGAAAAAAACCCTGTCAGCCAAATTGTGGACAGAAGGGTACCTTAGAGACTGACACAAGCTGGTAACGTCTTGAAGAAGAAGCACGCTCCTCGCCAATCTACAGACTGTTTTAAGACCTGTTGGTTAGTTTTCAAGGGCTATTAGTTGTTTAAGAGGTCGAGTATTATCTGCAAATGTCCTTATTTCCAGTACGATTCCCTATTGTTTTGTTGGGGACGCTCAGGTCACTCAACGAGGCACTCTAAAGACGTAAGGTAGAAAAGCCCGAAGGCTCGCTACCGCATAATCTTGCACCCCATGGCGTAAATATATTGTATGTAACTGGCCTTGACCCATTGGTACTTGTTGGGGAGGTACTCAGTGAATCATGCAGACAATGTCGACTGATCCTAAGAGGCAACGTTGCGGTGACCACGCCCTGTGAAAAAGTAAGCATCTGCCGGCAATACGCTATCACCCCAAATTCTATAGATAGCGCAGTGCCTCGGATCAGGTGTCCTCAGGTGATGCTTCAAAGAGACCGCTATGAAGCATGTCGCGTATTCGTCGCGATACCGCATCTTCTTCAACTGGACTTTGTCTGGCAGCTATCAAACGGTTTGTGCAATTCCCAAACGTGCTGCCTTTTTACATGACACCTGCGATGGCTTGTGCCGTACTGAGAAAAAGCAAACATAAATTTTGCTCACCGAGCCGCCCACCCTTATATTGATTTGTTGACTTCGTGTACCACGTCAAGTGGTCAACTCCACGATCCTTCCAGTTCCAAAGTCCCTCCCAACCACCTCCGTACTCGCAACCGTAACCTCGTCATGAAAACGAGAAAATCCCATGACTCTTCCTTAAAACGTGGCGCTCGTGAGAATGGTTGAACACGACCCCGGTTGATAAGGACCCTGAATACGAGAAGACAAGTCTTGGCTCGACGGATTGGGATAGCGAACCTGCATCGCTCGGCACGCCACTGCACACCCAACCCACGCTATTAGGGTATATGCAACCGACCCGATACCTTGCAGTCCGACCTTGAACGATGGAGGGGGCACGCGTGCCGGATAGATATAAGTTGAGGATTGTGCCCGCCTTTGACTGCCGATGTTCTACTACCATCACCCTTTCGGTATTCTATACGTCCAGACAGTCGTCTCAAATCAGTCACTCGTTCAACTTTCACTGAGCAGAAATCATGAAGCACTTTCTCATGTTTGCTGCCATAGGCGTGACAGGGTTGTAGGTGTCTCATTAGTTCCCATGTTTTAGTCATGCTGACGATTCCCTCCTCTAGATCCCAGGCTCTCTCCCCGCCCCTGATCACCGCTTCTATCCCTCTCCCATCCGACATCACCTACTCCCACACACAGACTGGATGTCCAACTGTTACTCAGACACGGGAACTTTGCGCCAGCTGCCCTATTCCAGCTTGTCTTGTGCTTGGAACCATTACGCAGTCCTGCAATTGCCCTACCCCTATCCCTACAGTCTATCTTGACTACCCATGCTCGGAAAGTTGCAGCGGAATCTGGTGCGCGACCAGCTGGGCTATTGTGCAGGAGTCAGGTTGCACATCTACGGACTCAACACCTCCGTCTTCCACTGCCACCCTCACCAGCAAGACCAAGCCGTGGCACAACGGCACCTACACTGGTCACAGCACCAAAACCAAGACGACGACCATCACTGAAACCGAAACAGATGAGTGCGAGCCAACACTCACCAAGACCACCACAGTGACCATCAGCTCCGAGCCGCCCGTGCTACCGACTTTAGAGACCTCGACGAATCTCCCTGATGTCGAAACCTCCATCACAATCGCACCTAATGTCACATTTACCTCGAGAGGCCCAGGAGGTGGCGGGGCAGTGAGCTCCACGAGCGTTGTCGAGGCGGCTGCTGGAAAGATGCGCATACTTGGATTGTGGTGAGAGGGTCATGTCTAGACGAGATGAAATGAATGTGTTTAGTGTACGGAGTGGGGCGTTGTCGTGGGTGGTGTTTTGTTGTGTATTGGGGAGCTCTTGTTTCTTGGGTAGGCGTCCAGTGTAGTGAATGAGGTCGACGTTGTTGATGCTAGACTTTTTCGTCAGTCTGCCATATCTAGGTGATTTTGCTATTCCCATGTGTTGACATTGATGCAGTGTGGGTCGGGGGAGTATCCCGGTTAACGTCTCAGACCTGCAGAAGACCTGGAACTCCTACCCCTGAACAGGATTTGCATCAATACACACTCTAGCTCCAGCTCATCCAGTGTACATATCTCAGAATATTCTTCAAATCCACACGCTCCGCGCTCTCCACCGTTAACCTGGCACACGTCATCTAACTGGACTCTGCTCCGTCCAGCCTGTGCCGATAACCCGCATGCGGCTTGGCGTCAGCTACCCCGCTGCCTTTGACTTGAAGTGCTGCGTTCCGTAGGTATAAAATGGCGCGACCATATTGCCTTTGCGAAGTGATCGAATGAGCCATTTCACGAAAACCATTAAGTCAATATCCAACCCAGAAACCATGTCTGAACCCACCGAACCGTCTGCTCCCACACGCCGTCTTACTGCCAAGCTTGGCAGGCTCAACCCCTTCAAGTCGTCCAAGCGATCCAAAGAGGATGAGGACGAGGAAGACATCGGCGAGGATATCGATGACACCACTGTTGCAGGAGGCGGCCACTCTGCGTTTGACCACACCCGCCATGATCTGATGGTGTCGGATGCCATTAAGTCCTTTCTTGCTCGACAAGGTGTTTTGCCTTCAAAGGATGACCCCGAGGGGCTAGCAACGTTGCTCGACCAGCCTATGGTCATACCGCCTGCGTCGGTGTTTGACAGATCTCACCCCCTCACCGAGTACTTTATCAGCTCCTCGCACAACACCTACCTGAGGGCCCATCAACTGTACGGCAAATCTGATGCTGATGCCTACAGGACTATCCTGACGGCTGGGGCACGCTGCGTCGAGATAGACGCGTGGGATAATCCCGATGACCCGTCTGAGCCAAAGGTAACTCATGGCTATACTTTGGTTTCGAATGTTCCTTTTCGGGAGGTTTGCGAGGTCATTAGGAACTTTGTTGACTACAAGACGTCTGCTGGCGCAGAAGCAGCACCTATTCTCCTGTCTCTCGAGAATCACTGCAATTCAAATGGGCAGCTTCGGCTTGTTCAGATCATGAAGGAAGTCTTTGGTGACAGACTCTTGAGTAAAGCAGTCCGAGAAAAGGGACACGAAGAACAGTCCGAGTCGGACCCAGAATCCCACGTGCGCCTTGAGGAGTTGGGCAACAAGATCGCCGTCATTGTCGAGTATCACCTCCCCGGAGAGATCGACACATCCGATTCTTCCTCTGATTCCTCTTCTGACGAGGAGGAAGAGGCAAAAAAGGAAAGAGAGGAATACAAAGCCCGCAAAAGGGAGACCGAAGCTGCCATAATCATCCCCGAGCTGGAAGAGCTAGGCGTCTATGCCCAGTCGGTGAAGCCAGGCGATGATTCATGGTATGCCGGCGAGTGCGTCCTCAGGAACAGGCCGCATCACCACTTGATCAACATATCGGAAGCGGGCTTGGCTCGGCATGCCACCGACGATGTCAACACAGCAGCAATACAGCGGCACAACAGCAAACACCTTATGAGGGTTTTCCCCAAAGGCACCAGAATCTCGTCACGCAATCTATCACCCGTCCCATTTTGGGCACTTGGAGCTCAAATCCTAGCGCTAAACTGGCAGCGTTTCGACGCCAGCATGCAGCTCAACGACGCGCTCTTTGCGGGAACGACGGGTTATGTCCTCAAACCCGCGCATCTTCAGCACTCGGGTGGTGGAAGATTGGTCAAAACGAGGAAACGACTGAGGCTCCACGTGGCCGGAGCTAGTGACGTTCCTGTTCCCAAAGGAAGGGATTCGGTACTCAAGCCGTACGTGACGGTTTCATTGGTGCAGAAGGATGGCACATCGTTGAAGCAGTCAAAGAGAAAGCAGAAGACGTCAGGTTACAAGAAGCATGGGCTGAGATCTGCCCTGGCTGCTCTTCACTCGAGCGAGGACAGTCCAGCTGAGACGGATCCGATCTGGGATGAAACTCTGGAATGGGAGTTTGAAGACGACGAGCTGGTGTTTCTGCGCATCTTTATCAAGAGTGACGATTCTTTTGCAAGCAATCCCATCTTGGCAGTTACCGCAGTACGAGTTTTGTATGTGGTTCAGCGGGAGTGGGGATTCCTCAGGATGCTGGACCTAAAAGGGCACGAGACAGGTTGCACCTTGCTGGTTCGCTTTGAGATAGAAGACTTGTAGGAACAGTTGTCCGTTGACAGCAGAGAGCTTTGGGCTCGGTTGTTAAAGTCGGGTTGGGTAGGAGTTCAGGGGTTCAGGGGTTCAGGGGTTCGGGTGGTGTTACTAGTTAGATGGGGTGGATTCTTTGTTGTAAACAACTCTTGTTACGGCGAGGCATGTAGAAGGGGTTGGATGTTTTCTGCAAAGCTTTCTGCTATTGTTTGATGTAGAACACCTGTCTGCAAGGCGGTGATCGTTTTACAGGCTCGACAACATTTAGATGCCCACACCAATGTTGGAGCTCAGCTAATTCAAGGAGTGATCAAGGATCTTCGGCAAGGGGAACAGGCGCAAGAACAATTCTCTTGCCCTTTCCATCAAACTTGTCGGCTTCTCCCACATAGTAATCCTTCCATCCGGCCTTTGGCAAATCGATTGTCTCGTCCTCTGTCAAAAACTTCATAAAAACCCCATGTGTAACCACCACGATGCTCGTTTTCAAGTCCCCCCTTTCTTCGGCGGCCTTCTTGTCTTCCTCCTTCTGCGCCTGCTGAATGTTCTGGGCAACATTCCACAAAATCTTCCTGACCTTCTCCGCCCTTTTGCTTACGCTCTCATCGTCCGCCGCATAATCGCCCTTCTTTTCCAGCCAGTCGTCACCATCGAGTCCCGAAGCGTTTCCAGCCAAACTGGACCAGACAACATCGGGAAATGAAGGGAATCTCTCTTTGAGCACCGAGATGGGAGAGCCAGTGTCGCAGGGCAAGTCGCTTCGCTCTTGGAGGTAGGGGTCCAGTATCAGGTTGTTGCCGCCGAGGAGAATCGAGCCAAAGGCGTCGAGTGTCGTCTCGATTGCTCTTGTCAGAGGGGAGGTAATGACAACAGCAACAGAGGACAAGTCGGGGAAGGATGCCTCCAAGACGGCAGCCTGCTCATGGCCAACTTGGGTTAACCCGGGGTCGCGAATGTTGAAGTCTTTGGTGACATTGTGAACCGACTCGGCATGCCGGACAAGAAAGATTTGGGGCTTGGCTGGGGACATTTTGGTGCCCCTGACTCCTGGCTATTTATTTCTATTCTTGCAGCCTTGCTGGAGTTGGAAATGGACCAAGGGTTATCTATATATTCCCAATTTTCTGCTCGTTGTCCCTCTGCAAACAGCTTGTTGAACTTTTGAAATGTTCAAAGGGGAGGACATTGCGGGGAATGCGGGGGAGTTCACTTGTGGCTTTATACTGCTGATGCTGCCCCCCACAGTGTTGCGTCTTTTGCGCATCAGTTGCACCATCGTGGGATGCTATCATTGGGCAGCTTCGAAGCTTGCCAGAAACGAGCTTGAATAACCTAAAAACCATTCACAGACTGAAACGTCCTGTTGGCACTCAACTTGCTGCTCTGGGGAAAGGGAAGCACCCAACTGAGCTGCAGCGTCAAGATTACCAAGTCCATTGCGATTTCAGCATCTACAGTTTCCAGCATCAGTGGTTTAGTGGTAAAATCCATCGTTGCCATCGATGGGCCCCGTGTTCGATTCACGGCTGATGCATCACGACTTCTTTTTTCTTTCTAGATAGCCCAGTCTTGCTGGGATTGCCCTGGAATAGCTTGCTTCCAATCCTCTTGCATAGAATCTTGTACAGCCGAAGAGGTTTGTGCTGTTTCCTGGTAGCTCATTCAGCGTCTTATCGGTAGACTGTGAGGTTTCAAGATATCTCAGAAAGATATCTTGGACAGACAAACTGAAAACCTCGTCTTGGCTGCTAGAACCGCGTTGAACGTCAATGCTTTATGGCATGGGGCAGGTCCACAGTGACGCGATACTGACAATTCTAATGCGAGATGCCGTCACTCTGATTCAGTCCTGGGGAGTCCACTTTGCAGATATATCACCGTGTTTCTTCTCCTCCCCTGCGGAGTGTGTGGATAATCACCTCAAGAAAGCACCAAGATGCCAATCAAATCCTCCACAAGCTTCTCCCCAGGCGACACGGTTCGTTACAAGCCGGTGGGCGGTCCAGACAGCAACACGTCCGAGTCGGTGGGAAAGATCAAGGATGTCTTGACTGAGCCCGGTAAACAGGCTGGTCGGAACGTCAACGCCAGCGCTGAGATGCCCAGATACGAGGTTCGTTTGTATTTCATATCTCTCCAAACACACTGTTGACAAGGTGACAGATTGAGAACCTCAATACGGGAAAGACATCTACCATCTACGAGCGGAACATCTTGGGTATCGAGAAGTGATCAGATGGATTGATATCGAGAGTAGAAGTCAAAATGGAAATACAAAGTCCCAGTCATATCACAACTTTCTGATCTGAGCATTACCAACCTCCTCAAGAAGAGCCTCAACCCTTTCTTTTCCCTCGAGCATGGCCCAGTGTCCAACGTCGAGCTTCTCAACCCTCAAATCTTTTGCCAGCCCACGAAGATCTTGGATGTGCATATCAGTGATCACTGCGTAGTCCTTAAGGGTGGCGATGAAGAGAGTAGGAATATTGATCGTTTTCTCCTCCGCTGGCAAGTCCTGATCCTCTTTGGCTGGTCCACAAAACACAGCAGCCTTGTACCAATTGAAAGGACCAGTGTATCCTCCTGCCCTCAAGATTCTGTTGTGCATCTCCAGTTCGGCGGGCGAAATCCAGTGGGCAACAGGAATCTCGATGTCGGACTCTAGGAACTTGGTAAAGCCTCCCGGTTCCCCAAAGTATTCAATCCACACTTTGGGGTCCTGGGCATAGAAAAGCGAATCGACGCGCCTGTCATTCTTCTCAACCAGGGTTGCGCCATCAGGGGATATAAAGACCTTGACGTAGCCAGAAGTGCTGTATCCTAGAATCTCTTTGGACATTTGTATCACGGAGTCTGTTCACATTGCGTCTTGTCAGCAGGGTTTGAATCCAAGTTTGACCTCGAGGAGACATACCAGGATCAAACGGCGAGTCCAAAAACATGAAGCCAGTTGCTATGAACACCAGTTGACTGAAGAGCTCTTTGTGGTGCACGTAAAGGTGTGAAAGAAGTCCGGCACCAAAGTCATGCCCGACTCCAATGACCTTTGGGGTGTCGAGAACCTTGGTCACAAGTTCATGGACTTGGGGAACAAGACACTTCATCTGATATGGCTCGTAGGATTCCGGTTTGTCCGTGTCGCCATAGCCGAGAAGGTCCGGTACCAAAATACCAAAGCCAGCCTTGGGTAATAGCTCGACTTGGTGATGCCAAATATAACTGGAGCTTGGTGCGCCATGGAGCAGGAGAAATGTGGGTTTGCTGCCAGTAGCAGGGACGTGAATGTAACCATAGGTTGTACCGTCACTCAGAATTGCCTTTCTGGCGAGCTTGGGGAAGGCAGTCGATGCCATTGTGAAAGTAAGACGAGGAAGTTACCTACTGTTGAACTGCGCAGCGGATTATGGAGAGTTATACGGACGTAAGGGACAGGGGTTTGGTTGGATGACCCACCTCTCGCCCTTTCATCAACATGAACATGACATGCATGATAGGCACGTGAGGCTCAGCCGCTTCACCGACCATCTTTCTTGTTTGTTATCCAAATTCTGCTTCCCACCACATCTCCAGAGTGCCGTCTAATCCCGTACTTTCTGTACTCGAATTCCTCCAGGCTTCCGAGCTTCTCACCCCACCCATCATTGGTCTTCCCTGGTGAGGCTGTCTGGTCCAAACCGTCTAGTTTGACCAGACCTGTCGTTCCTGCCAGTACCTCACTTTCTCTTGCCGCCCAGTGCTGGTACAGCTCTGGATGTGGTACCCACACAACCATCATCCCGGCTCTGCGTGCAGCCTCCACCCCTGGCACGCTGTCCTCGAATACCAAACACTCCTCCCGTCTAATCTCATCTTCGCTGGGATCCAACTGCTCGTTGATCACTTGCAGCGCTGTCAGAAAAATGTCTGGAGCCGGCTTTCCTCTCTTGCCCTTCATCCGGCTATGATCAGATAAAATCCTGTGCTTCTCTGATATCAATCGTATCATCTCATTAATGTCAGGTCGGGATGTCTTGAGCTTGAGGTTGGAGGTGACACTACTTGAAGCCAGTGCGATTCTGACTTTTCTCCCGTCCGCTTCTGTCATTGCCTGGGAGAGCTGTTCCAGAAGCTGTTTGGCACCCGGGAGGACTTCACACATCGGAAACATCTTGTTCTGCTCAATCTGCTGTTCTGCCTTGTACTGCTCACGGGATATGGGAAGCTGGGCCCACTGATGAAACGCTTCTCCGTTGCTAGATCCAGGCACGCCCATCAGTTGTGCTTTGAGAGACCAGGGGATCGGGGGGCGGGAATAGCGTGCGAGAACAGTGTTGGCGCAGAGGCTGTAGATATCTTCGGTGTTTAGGAGGAGACCGTCAAGGTCAAAAATGCATGCCCGAACGTGCGGGAAGGTTCTGATTGATGAGATTAGCTATTGCGATTTCAAGACACAGCCAAGTTGACACACCTGTTGTGAGACACCATGGCTCTTGACCTTGGGGATTGTAGAGGAGAGCAAATCTTATTTTCACCCCGCACAAGGTTTTTGCAAGCGCCGAAGCCGGATTGGCTGATGGTGGGCCAAGTTTTGAGGCGCACATCTCCACCACAAAGAGTGCGACATTTCGGAGGCTTTGGAGTTTGTTTTCTTCAATTGGTCCTGAAAAGTCAAAGCTTATAATGAAAGTACTGCATCGAGCGGGTTTGATGCTCAGGCTGGGTCGTTCTGACAGCATTGCTGCCGACGAGCGGCTGCTGCCAATTAATCCCTCGCTGCAGCTGATGGTGAAGGCTTTATTGACCCAAACAAAGCTCAAAGCTCAACAACCCAACCACATGATTGACAATAGCAATGTTCAACATGCCGCCTCTGAGTAATGCGATTGTCTTTCACCTGGCTTTGTCCCACTTTGAGATAAAAGTGTGATTTCCTGCAGAAGAAAGTCCTGCACCGTTGACATCAGGTAGACCGCATCGATTGCGTGACGAATCTTGACACACAACTTTTGTACCACCGGCGCTCCCTCCCTTTCTCCTTTCCCACCTGCAATTTGCATCTTATCTGATCCTTGTCCATCTCACGATATCGGTACCTCCAGGATGGGGACCCGTCAGACTAAGTGGGCCTTACACTAACGTAGTCTGAGTCTTGTTTCCTCTTCGCCCCACCGACTCCACTATGAGACCCTATTTTTTCAACGACATGTCAACATTGGTACTGGTGTTCTGTAAGTGATTGGGGACACATGGAGGCCCGGAGAGCGGAAAAGTATGTGGGCGAGAGTATGGTGATTTGTTTCTGCATGGTATCTTGCCGGGACGATTGAAGGAATGGTGGGGTAACTGTTGGGTGCTCTGAAGGCCAGGTGTTGGATGGGCGATGAGGGAGACGGCAGATCCAAGGCAAGTCGAAGGTCGAATGAAGAGAACCAAACACGGTTTATATTCTACTAAACACAGCGCAGCCATTGTTGTACAATGTCCCGTCTAGTTACCTTCTCCTCGTGGCATGACACACGACCAGGGTCCATGATGTACATATCCTCCACCACCAGTTTTGGACACTCAGAAATACCGACTTGAGCGCCCCAGACGACATGTCTAGTAGGCGAAGAGAAGCAAAAAGGCAACCATCAGGGCGAAGAGCCCAGTGGCTTCGGCGAAGGCGAAACCCAAAATGGCGTACGAGAAGAGCTGGGCTGTGAGGGGGACAGCCACTGGTCAGCACAATCAATTGGGCAGACATGAAAGGCAGAGCATGCTTACACCTGAGAGCCGGGTTGCGGGCGGTGCCGTTGATGAGGGCGGCAAAGACTGTGCCAATGCCGACACCAGCACCAGACAAACCAATGGTGGCGAGACCGGCACCTTGCATCTTGCCAGCAGCGAGGATGGCGGCCGTGGCAGTCTCGGCGACAACACCGCGAGACTGGGTGGCAGAGCGCATCATGACAGGGGCGAAGGCATTACGGCCCTGGCTGAGGAGGAGACCGTGACGGCCGGCAATGGACGTCGAGCGGAGGATGGAGCTCGGGAGACGAGAAGCTGGAGGACGAGGGAAAGAAGCTCTCGTTAGCAACACGTCACCAAGGAGGAGGTGCGAGAATTAATGGCCGGTCCAACATACTCTGGGCCATCGCAGGCTTCGCACCCATGCGGGCAACGGCACCAGCCAGCTTGCTAGAGGCGTTCATTTTGACGAGACGGAGAAATAAAGGAGGGCGGTGCAGCTGGCAATTGATGGTGCCAATGGATGGATGCGTGTCAGAAGCTGGAAGGGAAGAGGAAGAAGAGGCACACGTTGGGAATGGAAGCGGAAGAAATTGGGGGAACCAGAAGAGAGGGAGACGAAAGGGAGGGCGGGAGAATGGCACGAATGGGAAGGGGTGACGGGGGAAGGGCGGGGTATGGCCAATCATCTGTCGAGAGCGTCCAGGTTTGTGAGACGTGAGATCTCTCGCTCCTTCAAATTCGACGTGAACGGACGCAGATGGCAGGCGCAGCTGTCCTGCAGCTGGTTGTTTCTGGCCTGGCACTTCCATCGGCGGTTGCCAGCCAAGAAACCGATCGGATATCATGCGTTTCCTTGCTCTTCTGCATCCTGCTGCCCTCCATGGTGGTCAGTTGAGACAGCGCCCATGAGGTTCCTGTGGCCGGATCCAATCTGAAAATGCATCTTGGAGACGATTGCAACAGCCTTTATGCATTGATCCCATTGTGAAAGCCCGTTGACGCTACCGTTCATGCGTCTCCCCGTCCTGTTTGCCCAACATTGTCCTGGGGGTTCACCGTCTTGCTGGGTTAGGGTTATATGACAGGCTTCCCCAGATCCCCGCTTCAGCCACATTCCAGAACGGGCCACACCCGCAGGCTCCACCGTGACCTTACAATTTCCCCAGCTTTGGCTAGTCTGCATTTGGATAGCTCTCATTGAACAACTCACACATGGACAAACATTTCACCGTCACCGAACCAACATTTCTGGCTGCTTGGATTAACAGAATATTTTCTCGGTACACTCCTCTCCTAACAATATTTAGCTATTTACATCGTCCGATCTTTGCGAGATTCTACCAGCGAGACTGTCCTCGAATTCGGTGGCCGTGTCCATGTTCCGGAGCCGGCTCAGCGGGAGCAACAGGAGCGGCAACCGTAAAGTCGGTGCAACTCTGATATGTCTGTCCAGCACCAAACCAATGCCACTGGAGGACCTATTTCATGATTAGTCTTTTGCCGCCCCCTTGAATAAGAAATTGAACTTACACAAACACCTGCAGCCGCACACTGCGCACCAAGCTCCGGGATCTTGACGCTGAACTTGGTCTGGTCCGCTGGTGGCTTGCTGCTGGCCGCATACCCACTCGCCCAACTCACCAGCGGGGAGCCCAACACTTTGTTGGTCGTGGTGTCGACAATGGAGACATTGGCGTAGCCAGAGTGGGGAATCCTGATGTACACCTCATACTCGACAGAGTCGCCGGGTTTGTACGACTGGACATTGGCGGCGTTGTCGGCGAACTGGTATCCCTTGCAGAGGAACAGATTGCACTTGTTGCGGTCGGGCAATGGGTTGGATCTCAAGAAAGCCTCGGGATAAGACGTCTCATCTTGCTTGTAAAAGTTGACCATGGCACGGCCGCACGCCTCGGTTGTGGCATCACCTGGCTTGCGAGAAGCTGGCTTCAGGACAACACCGTGGGCGGAGACCAGGGAGGCCAGGCCAAGAGCAGAGGAGACGGTGGAGAAATGCATGTTTTGTGTTTGTGATGGTATGTTTTCGACTGGTGACCAGTTGGAAATGTGAGGATGGCGCCTGCTTTTATAGCACCAGGACGGTATCCATGATCTTCGATGGAGAGACTGTTGTTCATCTCCACCGCGGTCATCTAAACAAAAGCGGTAGACGGAAACCATCACGTTGCGAGGTGCTATATGCCGGACCCCTTGCTTTTGCCTAATGCCACGCGCTTTGACTCCATTGTCCAATCAAGGCCGAGGGCTCATATGAATCCCCAATTTGGAGAACACTCAAAGTTGTTTATTTGCCCCTCGGCAGACAAGATCCGAATTTGACGAACCGTCTAGCGGGATCACTGTTGCAGGGCGGAGGAAAACACTGGGGAATTTGTCTGAGGATACAAGGAGTATTTGTCATCAAGGATGGAGGAGACAGTCGTACCTTTATGTTGAGTCGGTGGAGAGGAACCTCGGTAGAAACAATTTCCATGTTGTGGTGGAACATATCTGTGGGGTGGAGGTCTTTTGTTTTTTCCTTCCATGAAGTACAAGAGTCACCGTGCCGTGTTGGTCCAATAAGGGAGAAGCTGAGCACCGTTCAATATAATTCATTTCTTTTGAATTTCTCATCGTAGCTAGTGCATATAGGGCACTTTCTCGTTTTCTTTGCTGCCTCGTTCCTTTGTGACATAATTCCGCCCTCGACTACAAGTCCGTTTCCTGCACTTATGCCTCGGAGGCCAACTGAGCTACCGCAGCACGAAAGTTGCTAATCTTGCCCAGAGCGAGGTTGTGCGAGAACTTTCCACGCGTGTTGTGGATTCCAAAGCGGCTGGCTGGGTCAGATGGGCTTGACGGACCCTGGTTGGACTGGGCATAAGCAATGCTGGCAGCCGTGCTGGAGGGGTTGAGTCTGGATGTCCCCAGGTTCGAGACGCCCTTGGCAAGGAAGTTGACAGTCCAGTGGGTGCTATTGGCAACGGTGCCGCCGAGAACCGTATAAGTGGCGCCAGTCCATGGCTGTGGGTAGGTTCTTGCTCTGTTCTCGTGTCAGCCTGCTGCTTGATATGTTTGTGACAAGAAGAATCATACGTAGCACGGCGGGAAGAAACGACAACCGTCGCAGCATTGGCCCATGCAACAGTCAAGGGGTTGTTGACCATGGTGCCACCCCACGCGATACCAGCCCACCCAACAGATTTGGGTGCTTGAAGCTGGACCAGAACATCAAAGTCGGCCGTGGCAGTGGCATTCTCGGGAATGGCAGTGCGGAACGCAATTCTCTCTGGTGAAATCCACTCGGAATAGCAAATGGTGGATACAGGATCGCAGTATTTGACGCTCGCTTGACGGGGAGCAATCTCGTGCGCTGGGGCAGCCTGGACACTGCTGCCCAGAGCCAACACGGTTGCTGCCAGTTGTAAAAGACCCATTTTGCACGCTGATAATGGCGATGTTTGCGAGAGGAGTTGAAGGAACGATGGCAAGGGAGGGGGGAAGGGAGGGAGATATGGACACGGTCCAGTGTTCATGACTCGAGATATATACTTTACATTCCTGCCGTGGCGTCGCTGATTGGGAATGCCGTCAACGGTCCAGACTCTTGCTGGCTTTACCCGCGGCGATCTTATTCGGCTTCAGGTCCGGCTGTTCATCATTGTCTTATGAGTGTGGGGTTTCTTTCACCGGGGATGTAACCGTTTCTCACCACAACGATGCAGATGTTTCGGTAGGCGGGGGCGGCTGAAAACAATACATGGCCGTCGTCTGCAGAGATTGCCGGGTTGGTAATTGCAGTTCTCCGAGTGGTTGGCTTAGCAAAAGTTTAAATATGCTTCTGGGGTCCTTGTATCGGCCGGCAGGTGATGCTCCAGCATGCAGGGGTTAAGATAATTCAGGCTGGGATACCATTCACAGCAGTGTGCAGCATCGACTCTTGCCAAAAACTGTCAGGTCTCTCATGAATTAACTCCTCCTCGTCGAAAGCTTACATACCTACTGAAATGTGAGTTGCGAGGGCCGAGGTGGCTGCAAGGGGAAGGTGCGAGGGAGTGACAACTGAGCTGCAAGTGGCAATCAAGAACTCCAGGCTCATATATCTGTTGTATGCCAGAAGCTTAATCGCTATTTGGTTGTCATGGCATCCGGGTATAGGCTAAAGTCCCCGGGTCCATCATCCGAACGTGGATACATGTTGCCTTGTTAAGCGATGTGCTCGGAGTGGACGGGAGATCCGATGGCATAAACATGAGACAAAATCACTCAGTGGTATTGTGACTCTCGATTCGCCGAATGGTATGCTGACAGAGAGCAGAGATAGGATATATATCGTTATGCCCGTCATTTATCTATCATCATTAACCAACCCCCATCGATAACACACATCTTTCGTTCCACAGACATCTCAAACTAAACTAACTGCTCACAGCCAAGCGAAGATACCTGGAGCCCTGACCCTCCCAGCAGCCCCTGGGACGACCGAGGTGCTGATCGACGTGGTGGTTGTAGCATTTCCCGAGGAAATGGGAACGGGTGGATTGATAGTGGCGCACGTTGAAGGAGTGACGATGTTGTACGATGTCGTGCAGTGGAGTCCTTTGCAGTTGTCTTCACAAGGGAAGTTGGCAGTGACGGTCGGGATGCTCTTGGGACAGTCACAAGACTGAGTGAGGGTAGAGACCATGGTGCAGGCGAGGATTGGGCAAGTTGCGCAAAGCTCGCCGGTCACAGTGACAGTTGGACAGCCTGTCGTGGGATTCGGCGTGACAGGCTCTGGGGGTACTGAGTATACAGTGGTAACGCCAGTCCCTGCGCTGTTGGTGGTGGTAGCATCGTCTTGGGCCGACGCACTATTGGGAATGTGTAAGCGTCCAATGGCAAGTAGTGGTATTTGACGGAGTGTGCTTACATGCGGGCAAATACGAGATTAGCAGTAATGGCAAGATATCTCATGGTGGTGATCTGATACCGTCAACTTTGGAGGTTTGTCTTTGGAGAGTGCGAGATCAATAACAACGGAGAGAGACATCGGTATTTTTATCTTGACGTGGCCGAAGGACTAAGGTAAGCACAAGTACCATACAATGGAGCAAAGCTCGTATTGCTGCTTGATTTGACAAGTATTTGTTTCAGACTCGACTAACATTTCCTTACAGGTCAAAAGTGTCTTGGCGTGACGTGTAGCACGGGCTGAGTCAATAGCACAACGTATCGCACAAGGACCCAGAGAGATGGAGAAATCTTGTTGTGTTGTTGAATGTATTAACGTCGAATATAACATGTCGTACGTAGGTCACTCACTGGCTAAAAAAGTGAAACAAAAGACAATAAGATAATGATGTGAAATCCAGAGAAAAGGTATATAAAATACTAGGCTTAAAAATAACTAAAGTATATAAAAAAGAAGAACCTATAATACTGGAAGGAATTATATAATATATGGAGTAATGTATATTATTTTAAAGAGGCTAACTTCGTATATAAAGTCTCTAAAGGTCTTTTAAAGTCTATTTAAAAACAATTAAATTAACTATACAAATAAAAAGCTATTAAACAGATAAAATATATAAAGTCTTTTAGTTTTGCTAGAAATATTATAAATTAATAACAACAATTAATATACTAAAGTTTATTTTGCTTTATCTCTTGAAACGAAGTAAAAATACTTATAACGTACATTATAAGCGAGTGCACCATATAAGCGAGTGCACCACTTTCCACCACCCTACGAATACTATCCTCAATTACACTACATCAACACAAGGAATTAACTATAATTATATTAGAAACAGCTGAATCTGAGGCATCTGCAGCTTCCTGGCAAGTGCGCGTATTATAGCCAGGCTTGCCGCACACACTACAGCACTGAACCTTCGTACGAGCCCCCCTTACATTACTACTATCCGGCTGCGTTTCTTACACTCCCTCCTTATCCACGGCCTTCTAATCTAATAGATCCTGTGCCTTTTGTATAGTAAGTGACCCTCTAAGCTTTACACGTGTTTTTTTAGCTCTCCGGCGCTTACTTAGTACCTTATTAGCTTTACGGAGCGAAGAGACCTCTACACGAAGGAGAGCCACCTAGTATATTATAGCCGTTATACCTTTAGTAAGCTAGTCTACTATAGCCAGTATTAAAGTCGGGGAGTTATTTTAATAATTAGTAATACGAATTTTAATAAACGTTAATTATAAATTAACTTCTTAAAGGTTATATAGTATCTAGGAAACTTAAAGTTATATAGTACCGGGCTATAAGTTTAGAGGTATTAGCGTATAAAGCTTTATATTTAGTTTAGAAAGTACTTTCTTTAGATCGTATAATATAAGATTAACGCTTACAAAGCCACTTTATATATTCTTCTTTATTATAAAAACGAAGAAAGTTTTACGGAAAGTATAAAGGAACTCGAGCTTACTTATATAATTAATATATATACGTATTAAGTCTTCTATTTAACGATCGTATACTTATTTTAGCGGCCTAAAATAATTAATATTAAATAATTAAAGGAAGTAGGAGAAGTATAGAAATATATAGAACGTAATAATATTATTTTATTAATAATAATATTTAAATTCGGTCGAGTAATAGTTTTCGTAATTATCGAGGATTAATAACCGGTATTTATTTTTTATATAGAACGCTATATAATAATTAAAATATTTAATTTAATTTAAGTTTATTAAATTAATAATTTATTTATTATCGGTAATTATAATATATTAAATAAATAATAAATTATATTCGGTATATTAATTAGTAAGGTAATACTATACGATTAAAATAATAAAAAAAAGGATAGTTTAATTAAAGATATTAATTCCCTAAATTACTATTATTTATTCGCGGTTATTAAGTTAAACCAATTTTACTTTACTAAAGCCGTCCGAAATCGTAATTACTATAGCTACAAAAATAATATCTACTATAAACCTAGTCTCGTCGAAATTATAAATATCGTTACTGATAATCCTATACTTAAACTTAATATTCCGTATAAGCGTCAATTACTCGGTAATCACCTGTAAATTCTCGTACTGAGTCCTTTAGTAATTATATCTATACGTAAAACGCGTATAGAACTATAACTAGCGTTTAACGAAATCATATACCTAAAGTTTATTAATGAGGGGCGCGTCGCGTATACGTAGTAGTTAATTAATTATATCTTCTATCCTATCTAATTCTAATAAAAAAGCTCGCGTATATAGCTCAATAATATATTAAATAATAGTATCCTCTTCGGATTAAATAAGCTTTTTCGATTTAGGTATAGTATCGCGTCGTGTAGGCCGGTTAGCGCGTCGTTGTAAGAGAGTCGTATAGTGGACGTTGTAGATCTTTCTTGCGGCTCGGAAGCTGAGATTTTTATTTTTTTTAAGAGCTTCGAGGGCTAAGATCACCCTAGCTTCCTTTAAAGTAGAAGGTATATTAGGTTATGTAGAAAAAGTTGATGTTAGGTGGAAGGATAGTGCGTCGCTTAAAAAGTGATGCACTCGCTTATATGGTGCACTCGCTTATAATGTACGTTATCCTTAGTATAACTTTAGTTACTACACTTTCAAATACTTTTATATCCTAATTTTAACTATCTTTTAATAATAATATATAAAGATAACTTTTTTTCCCGTAGGGATCTAGAAACTAAAAAGCAAGATACCTTTCTATAAAGTAAAGCTTTTAAAAGTTAAAATATATCGATATTAAATAGGTGCTGTTAAGGCCATAATAAAGGCTTTATTTAATAGATCCTTGTTACGGTTCTGGAAAACAGTAGGGCCACGAGGGACTAATCAAGACTAGACCGCGCGATCGAGCGTAGCTTACGGTTTAGGTAGGCAAACGGACTAATAAGATAGGGACTGGAGACCGCGGCGGAGCTCACGGTCCACGGTCCAGTATCGGCTAATTAGGAGTGGACCGAGGATGTAACGAATCCCTATCAGTTATTCTCCGATAGATTGTAGTATAATCCGTTAAGAAACGCACCAAAAAAAACGCCCCACGTTAGAAATAGGGGGTAGGATCCGTTAAAAATTTAGTTATATAATTTAATAAGATTTTTCTAACTAAAATAAAAAATAAAAGTATTATTAAAATTGCTTAAACGTACTATTTAAAATAATATAAGGTATATTATTATACGAGCGGTATAGAATTATAAATAGTAAATGTGAAGTTAAGTATAAGTATATTAGTAATGTACGTAAATAGTAAAGTAAATAATATTTATTAAGAATTTAGTTATACGATCCGATAAAGTTTTTTTTACCGAACCGAAATAGGAAAATATTTTTAGAACTCTCTAAACGAGCTGCACTAAATGGTATAGGATATATTATTATACGAGCGGTATAGATTAGTAAATAATAAATATAAAGTTAGGTATAAGTATAT